TTGGTTTGTATACTTTACCTCGTGTTGGTGCAGGTGTCGGAGATAGGGATCTATCTTTTGGACCCAACAAAGTAGGTTTTTACCTAAAGACAGAGACAGAATACAGTCTCCGAAACGTTGTGTTTTTAAATAGAATCAGGACAGCGCTTTAGATGGATAATGTTCGGAAACATAATATTTGTATGGTAATTGTCCTTTGAGTTCGTAACTGTTTGACTTTCCTTCCTCACTTTATGACATGACAAATTCGTGTTTCTTTCGACTCTAGAACAGCGTGTAGACCTATGGAACCAATCAGCTGCAGTATGTATAATGGGAAGACTGTGAGGCGTATATCAAAGCCACTTGTTCCGTACATGTCGCGGGCCACGCTGTAAGCACTCATCATTTAACATGCCGTGGAGGGGTTCGTTATGTTCCTCCATCAGATACAACATGACGCTGTGACCAGTTCTGATCATTTCGGGGTTGTAAGTCTCGAATACACAATGTCTAACTTCACAATTAATTTTCACAAAATTCCCGGTAGGAGTTTCATTAAGGTGCTAATTGTCCCCCATTCCACAGAAGCACAAATTCGGAATTATACAGGATTAATGCAGTAGCGACAGGACTAAGTACCTGGAAGGAAGAGCTAAGAGGGCAGACTGTGCAAGGAAGCGTGATCGTTAGTCACTGTGGCATCAATGCAGCTGCAGTTTGGAATGCCACGTTAGTTGTGAAGTCTTTGCAAAGAAGTGCGCTTATCGGCTTCCATATTTTAACTTCATGTACAAATGATGATGATTTGCCCCAAAATATTTCTGCGATGTTCAGAGACGCTAACGCTCAACATATGCTGCATATATCTGATGTTTATATTACATGTATGATTCAACTGACTGGATTTCGGTTGTTAGAAAAAACGCAGAGACTTCTGTTTACGCGCACTGGAGACGCTGTCTGAGGCGAGATAACTATAGCACGCCAAATCACTTAGAATTTTAAGCTGAAATTTATACATGCGAACTTAAGTGTAAACTGCGTTTCAGTGCAGAACTTTTCAGATGCCGTCTTTGCTCCGTTGCATTTTCTGAAAGCTGAATTCTTAGCATAATAATGAATATGAGAAAAAAAAGTGGCATCCTTTGTATTGTTTACCGATGTGGCGCCACCATATTCACCCCAGAGAGTCTGGTTATAGGTCAGCAATGCAGAGAGAAAAGTGGAAAGACGGGGGCAGTGATAGTGCATATATAATACCAAGGAAGAGTTTCAATCTGTCATGACAACTTCATTGAATTTTGTGGATCCTAGACCGCCTGTGTGGTCTAGTGGTCAGAGTTCCTGCCTACAGATCCAGAGGTCCGGGTTTGATTCACGGCGCTACCAAATTATCTGAGAATTAATGGGTCTGGAACGGGGTCCACACAGCCTCGTGAGGATAACTGCGGAGCTCTTTCAAGGGAATAGCGACTCTGGTCTAGAAAACTGAAATTAACGGCCGTGGGGATTCGTTGAGCTGACAACGTGACACCCTCTATCCGCTAAAGTTGGCACTAACTTCGCCGACAAGCGGCGGTAGGTCGGTCGGTATAGTTCGCTTGACTCAAGCAACGGAGTTAAAAAGTTCATTTTCGTGGTCACAAGTGTCCGTCACTGGATCCACATGAAAGTAGTCCACACCCCAATACATTTGTTCCCTAAAATCGATCTTAATATTATCCCCTGTCTCCCCCCTTCAGGTACTCATATGCATGCCGCATGTCCCGTTCGTGCCACCCTCTTTGATTTGATGGTCTTAATATCTGGCAACGGGTACACACTACGGAAGCTGTCAGTTACGAAATTCCCCATCTGTTAGGCCCTAATTTTAACAGAAGCACAGCTTTATCCTGCATTGAGCTGTAACTTCCTTGCATCTGAATGTCTGGGTGCGTGTGTACGGAAGCCTCTGGGCGCAGCGAGGCTTCTGCGAGCACAGAACACCCTAGCGCTGCAGTACACTGCGGTTTATGGACAAGTGAGAACAAACTTTGACGAAACCGCGCAGCTCATGTATAGGTGCATTTTCCCATGTTCCTTGTGAACGCGCCAGAAACAGTGAAGCAGTCTGCACATATTGCTTGTTCACAAGAGGATCATTGGATTCGGTCGTTGCAGGTCCGCCGCTCAAATCCGGCACGCGGTTATCGTAGCCTTTTTTTTTTCACGAACTTTTAGTAGTCAGCGTGTCTAGGCGCATGATCTCATAGAACTGCAAAATGGATCAGTCCATACGGACGCATGCCCGCGTGCTATGCGACAGGTGTAATCGCCTGATCAATCCCAACATTCGCTTGAGAAACAGAGCCCGACCTGTTACAGCAGTTGTTGAGTGAACTATGGGCAGATTTGTATTGCCAACATCTGTCATATATGATGCCCGCAACACTGGTTCTCAACCAGGAAATCACAACAGCAGCTCAACGGATATTCAAATCATAATCCGTGCTTTCTGACCCCTGCATTGGACGGGTTAGCTTCTTCAGTTCATTACCGTGTTCACAGGAGGCCGCCTCTCGGTCCTGTCCGGAGCGAGACGAATGCAGTCTTGTTTCTTTAAAATGTACCATAATGTTATCCTCACAAATGGTTTATTGCCTTCAAGCGTCCCGACCGAAATTTTGTGTGTATTTTTCATCTCGTATGCCATTTACAGTGTATCCTCTTTGATTTAATGATCCTAATAATAAGTTATGTCTGTGTGTGGTGGGGTCAGTCAGTTATAGCTCTCTCTCTGAACTTGAACCAAAGCCTCCTACGAACTGGGTCATCCTAACAGTTTGCCGTGCTCAGAAGCCGCAGAAACACGAATGGCAGATATCGGGCTCTGAGGCTGGGACCAATGAACGGTCACATCAGTTATTTGTGGCCGTAGATTCGAGCTTAAATGTTTAGCGGCATTTTAAACGAAGATAGATACGAAACGAAATACTCTTCAAATGTTGACATCTACACATTGCGAAAGTGACGTTATATCTGGTGAATTTACAGTTTCCACTAACCTAACGGCAAGCGGCCTCCGTAGTCTAGAGGTAACGTTCCCACCTCATGACTCGTGGTACGCGGGTTCAAATACCCGGCGGAGGTCGTCGAATTTTTAAGGGCGGAAAAATTCAGGGAACAAGTCCTCCGGGAGGGACTTTAAGCTGTGTGTCCCGTGTCGTAACTTTACGACACGTAAAAGAACCTCATATCCCCAAAGGGGATCACTGAGCCAAATTCCAGGACGTTTCCCGCCCAACAATAGCCTCTAAGGCCTCTGATAGATGGGGGAAGCATTATAGACACCGCTAAGCAAGTGGCCGAACTCGCCTGCTCGGCGGGACTGATGGTACGCACCATTTATCGGTAGGGTAAAGAGACTGGTAGAATATCATAGAGGGAAGCACGATAGATCAAACTGGTGGCGGTGCATGGGGAAACGCACCCTCTCTAAAATAACTAACTAACTAACCTAACGGCAGGTTTGGCGACTAACGTCTTGTGTTCGGCCTTCTGGTTTTAACATTTGGTGCGGTAAACAGTTCACTTATCGTCTGGACTAGGCTGTAGTATGCATTAATCAGCTATTCACCTATTACGGGAATTACCGATTATCCAAATTGCCAATTAACCGAATGACCGCAATCGAGGAATGCTAAACAGATATCATTGTTGGATTTTTAAAATAAAGTATTTGAAAATGTTAATTTATAATTACGTTTATTAATTTTCACTTTTGATCTGTTTTATAAAGTTTATTTAGTTGTTATTATTATAATGATTATAATAGTGTTTTTTCGTGGACAAGAATTTAATCCAATTATCAGAGTTTTCGATTAGCCGAACCACTTTGTCTGCAATTAATTTGGTAATCGGGGTTCTGCTGTAGTTGATATACCAACTTCGTTTTCTGAGGGCCCGGATTTGATTCTGGTGCCTCAACGCAGGGCAGGAAATCACAGTCGTGCTGCCTGCCTGCAGTACAGATGAGAGGCAGCCTATGAACCTGTGTGCAACTTGTTGCCGTCACGAGATACGGAAGTAGGATTGCTGGTAGACCTGATACGGAACGTACTGTGCAGATACAGGGCGGACATTTGGAATGCGAGCGAGTAAAGCGTTCCGCGCGTGGGCAGTGCTGTGGGGAGGCTCAGAGGAATTTAACAACTGAAATGTTCATGTTATGTTTCATGTTGCAATTCAGGCTCCTACGACCCGGAAAGGTTCCACACTGTGTTCACGCATAAATATCAGAAAAATGGCGGCAAAGTGCATGACAACCTCAGAGGCACCGTTGAAGTATGCAGCGACATTGCTTTTGGATTTTCCAGATTACAGAGCTAAAGACATATCACGTCATTGTATGCTAATATTTATTACTTTACTGGCGATCGGAGCAATTTAAAAACGTAACTCTCTTGACCGCTTAAAGCACAGTGGTTACTATATGTACCACCTGTTTTAGCATTAAGAAAATCTGTATTCTGCCCACATAGTGTTAGCGTGTTCCGTATGATTCTCACAACAAACAGCGACTGTTTCCCTAAACAGCATTAACCGGTTGGGCTCTGTAGCGGAGACGTAATGTGTTTCCTGTGAGGTACGAACCGGATGTTTTATTTAGATGAACTTAAAGCTGGCTTCAAAAGGTTAAATTCGTCTTTTTCGCTGGTCCTCAACGAACTTCATGACAACTGCTTGCAGAGGGGGTCTAAACGTTGGCCTGTTTGGTGGGGGGGGGGGCAGCCAGGGACTTCAAACACTGTTCTGCATTTTACTATTGAAAACGTGTTCAGTCATATGTCATAAGTTGTGTTTCCGAAATCGGGATAAATTTTGCCGAATATTCCTCAACAATCGGAAGATGGTAAATTATGGAATCTACTTACGTATGCGTAGGCGTCCCCTGTAACCAAATTATGTACCCGGAAATGTGCTGTCACGATACAAGCACCTGCCGTACGCAATGCAGACACGCGAGAATAAGTATGGACTAACAATAAAACCTAAGTTTATTTAGGATTTATTAACGTACATTTCTTCCTTCTGTTCTCGAGATTCAGTTTACATAGCCTCGAGTGCTGAGTCCATTGCGGTCAACACTTTGGAAGTGTCACAATTTTTAAGCGTGCATGGAACTTCAATTTAACGCTGAAGAAACAATTTAACCAGTTTCGTGACACAGGTCTATGTTATTTTTAGGAACGACAGCCTAAATTAACACCCACAGTCCATCGTAAGAGTTCTCCATAGATGGTCCTGTATGGAAATAAGGTAAATCACGAAATTTTATAGGTATACACTATTAAATTGATATTCGCTTGTGTTCTTCAGTTATTATTCACCTGATTTTTTACGTCCGATACTTCCATCCTTCGAGATGAGACACAAGATGGTCCTCATGTCATCTGGATGTACAGTGCATTTCAGCAGTGAACAGAACAAGATGCCTTTATCGTGTAATCCAGTTTTGTTGTTTGTCATTCGTTTCGAGTAATGGGCCTGAAGATAGATGGATTTGCAGACCAATCGTGATTGTGTGACTTTTAACTCATTTGGCACTAAAAACGGGAAAGCAAAAGGATAAATTTGATGACTACTAAACTACTTTACCTTCCTTCTTCCTTTAAGAGGTGACAGATATCGCGCAAAGGCACTCATTCTTAATATAACTTTACAGTCACTTGTCTGTACACTCTTTCCTTACACCGCCACTGTCTGTTCGCCAGTAGTGCCGGAAATGTATTCGAACACATAATTTCAATTACTCGAACCGTAATTTTACGTGACAGCAGAAGAAATTAGGAATGTCTTCGTCATAATTATATCATCGTCGTCTACAAATTAAAAGGAAGTGTAAAAATGTTTACATACTTATCGACTTCCACGAGTCAGTACCATAATGGAATAAACTTGCTGTGATCATAGTCTCCAGGGATGTGAAGCCGTGTATCTCTGTTTAATTGGTTAACATTTCGAAGGAACCTGCTGCCTCCATCCTCAGGGTACAAGGCAACAGGTTCGTTCGAAATGTTGATACCTGTCTGCCAGACTACACGGCATCAAATCTCGGAAGACCGTAATCTTGATAACCTTGCATATCACTTATCCTATATTGTGGCAGAAACACGCGAGCATGGCCGAACGATTCAAAAGGAAAACAAGTGTGTGAGTTTCTGATTATGAAAATTTCGTGATGTCTTTTGCTTTGCTTTCACCCGGTACGCCAGAGGGCTGTGTCATGTCACTATGATCATCGCACCTGTGGACACTTCACAGAGCGACGTACTCGGAAGGCAAAGGCGTGCACAGCGGCGGTAGCGGGGGTGGGGGGATATCTTGCGCAAAGCCAGGCCTCTCGATGCTCAGATCCGTGTCGGGTAGTGACAGGGTCGAACTGCCTCCCGCTGTTACCCTCGGCCCCATGTTGTCGTAATGCGGGTCCACTGCAACGGACGGGATATCTTTGGTCGATCTGAGATGTCTGCGTGGCAGAGTGGCGTAAGATGTGACAGCGCTTGATGTGGGGCTGCTGGGGCAGTAGGGCGCGTCAGGGCCCGCTGCGACGCTCACGCTGGTTGTGGCTGTCTTGGACCGGTGTGGGATGTCCAACAGGTCGGGGTATCGTTGGCTCTCTGCGGTCGGCTCCTGGCTCACCGACACTGAGATGAAGATATTGCCAAACGCGCCAGCAGGGAGCAAGCTTGTAGAGAATTCTGGGGGTGGAGGGAACACGGCCACTGGCAGGATGCCGCCTACTGTAGGCTGATCTGATGTATGGCTCTCGATGGTAATGTGAACTGGCTGGTCGCACAATTCAAGGGGCTGCTCCAGCAACTCCATATCGGGCTGGGACCCCAGGCCCTCACAACTGCCGGACGGCCGTTCAGTCGTCGTTATACTCACGTCCAGTAGCTTCTTCTCTTGCTCCGTGAAGCTGACGCTGCCCTTGAGCTTGGCTTTCCGGCGGTGACGCTTGCGTCTCCTGCGTTGCCGCCCACACATGCAACAGCTGCACGCGATGGTGAGCAGTGCGGAGCACAGGGCAGCCACTCCGCCCGCCACAATACCAGTCCACAGCAGCCACGACTCGGCCTTACTCAGCGTGGTGGCCGTCACCACTTGCGGTAGCAGTAGCGACACGTTGCGACTCGCCAGTCCGCGCGTATTCCGCGCCACGCACGAATATTCTCCGGCGTCCTGCTCCGTCACGTTGTACACGCTCAGGTTCGTCCACTTCTCGCGAGAACTCTGCTCCTCCTCGTCGATAACGAACACTTGCTCCGGATACGAGGAGTTTCCCGCACCGAGAGGTCTCCCGTTCAAGAGCCACGTCACTTCGGGTACGGGGTCACCTCGAACGTAACACCGGAACGTCACATTGCCACCCACGTCCTGCTGCACCATCGTCTCACTCAGAACGACCTCTGGAGCACACGCAAATTCCCTTGGCGCCACATCCTCCCAGAAGCGGCCCGTCAGAGCGTCCGATTCGTAGCACGTCAGCGAGATGGAGTACAGGTTGCTTTCTAGTAGCCAGTTCCGGAAGCCACGCAGATCACAGTCACACGTCCACGGGTTGCCGTCCAGTATCAAGGTCTTCAGGTTCAGTATAGGCAGGAACACTTTCTCGGACAAATGACGCAACTGGTTACCCTTGAGGTTGAGCGATTCCAACATGGACACGTGCACAAAAGCATCGGTGTGTATGTGCTTCAGTTGACAGTCTTGCAGGTCCAGCGTCCTGAGGTGAGGCAGACTCGGGAACTGTCTCTCGCGAAGTTCTGTCAGCGGATTTCCATTCAGGTAAAGCACACGCAGGCGATCATTGCCCATGAATGTGTCCGGGTGAATACTGGACACTGCGTTATCCGATAAGTCCACCTCCACGAGTATCCGGAGGTCTCGAAAAGCGTCCCTGTGTATCTCACGAACACCCGTCCCGCGCATGAAGATACGCTGCAGATTGATAAGACCGACGGAGCGGAAGGCATCCTTGGTGAGATATGGAATATCGTTGCCCGCTAGGTCCAGCACCTGCATTTCTGAATTTAAAGTGTTCGGTATGGCGGTGAAACCTGCCTCTCGGCACAGGGCCGTCCTCTTGCCCGATGTCCACTTACACTGACACGAGGAGGGACAGTCTGTCCAGTCCGGGGTTGCTGCAGACGTAGTCAGCAGCAGGAACGTTAGTATCCAGGGCCCTGATGCAGCAGCCATGCTCCTCGGCCTCCTCCTGATCGTCTTGGTCACACATCGTCATCTTGCAGGCCGGAGCATCGGGGCTCCTGTCCGCCTTCTGGAGCCCGCGGCGAGGTTCGTCTGCGGCAAACAGAGCAGCTGATGTGAGCAACCTCACACAAAACACTACGTCTCCATTACAAAGACCAGCATTGTTTATTGCGAGACACACAGAAGTACTCTGGGTGTAATTAAAGCGTTGAAACTTCAGCAACAGGTAAAATTTGTGTTAAAGGGCAAGTGGACAGTTCTTTCGAATTCATTTGAAATTTAATTTTGCAAAATACGTTGCAAAGACTCTTCGCAAGTATAATTCGAATGATCACGTCAAGAAGTGAGACAGGCAGGATATGTAGCACGAATTGGAGAGAAGAGGAACGCACATAAGACATTAGTGGGAAAGCCATAAGGAACGAGACCACTAGGAAGACCAACACGCACGTGAGTGGATAATATTGAAATGGATCTTACACAGACGGGATGGGGATACTATGGACTCGATTGAGCTGGCCCAGGATAGGGACTAGTGAAGGGATCTTATCAACACGGTAATGAACGTTCGGGTTCCATAAAATGTTGGGAAGTTCTTGAGTAGCTGCACAATTATCAGTTTCTCAAGGAGGACTCGGCTTCATGAAGTTGGTTTAACATACGTTGTAAACCTGTACATAATAAATTTCTACTAAAATATTCTAAATTATTCCAGATTTAAATAAGCAGCGAGCAATAAGCACACTTGCTAGGTAGTACTAGGACGTTAAGCTGGGCTGAACACGCACGCCACGCACATCCGGTAGAGGAACGAAGAAATGTCTACAGAGCTTTATGTAAGAAACTACTTTGGCAGACAGTGGCTTGAAAAGACGAAGTGTAACATTTATTCAAGCTGCTTTTCACAATTTAATTTAACTTACAGGGGCAATCTTGAAGGCGGAAACGTCCAGTCGTGCTCATAGACTGTAGTTTTATAGCATCAGGTGGTTGGTTGCGTACAGGAATAATCTAATTCAAGAGCTACACATGGTTCGTTATTTTGTTTCAATTGTGAACATAATTTCATATAAGCCCGGTGAAGTCGAGAACCTTCAGCCTGTGCCAAGCTGGACACACGTGGCTGATATCCCTACAACGTCACATNGTTGTCGCTTGCAGAATTCTTATACTTGTTCTTCTACCCTGAAGATGGGGGCGATACGTTCCTCCGAAACGTCGGTTAACACCACATATACACGGTGCCAAATCCCAGAAGACTGCTTTCTTCATAGTCACCGCCGTGAAAGCCTCAGATTTTAAATACCACATTTTGTTAAAAAAATTGGAATTGTTTCTTCCTTTCTGTTTACTTCTATGTCGACAGGCGTTAGTCCCAACGCTCCTTATTGTGCCCCTTTTTTACGGTACTTTGCCCTCGGACTGCGGAAAAGCATTAACACCGTTCAGGATAGTCGAAACATAAAGTGTGTGTGGTGTTGTGTAGCAAACCCAAGTATGTTAACCGTTCGGGTTGTTCATATACACCCTATGCTCTGGGGAATGAAGCTGGAATTCATTAGGCAATTTCGGCTATTTGTAATTAAACCCGCGTTGTTATTCATTTGCTAATAAATTCCCCGCCTATCCCTTAAGGGATACAGCAGGTAACGGTTTTGTGATTTTGTCTGTTGCAACCACTGACGGCTACTGAAACACAGGAAGGAAAGAAGACAATCTGACTCGACTGTGATACAGCAGTTAAACTTGAGCGAGATGTGATTAACCCCACAGAAAGACGAACAAGTCACTGAAAATTGTCAGTTAAACTTCCTTTACAACATAAGGTTGTAAAAAGTACTGTTGTTGTTCCGGAGAAAGGCATGCTTTACAGAATTCTGAAATATTTTCTTTCCTCCTCCTACATGTCCAGCCAGAGGTTTTCGCTTTCCCTGAAAACTGAATGCCGACAGAGGCTGGGTGGACATGTAAAGTCCATGCATCCTTAACCTGGGCAATGGAAGAACAGAGGTGATTGGTCAGCTTCACCATTCCGCTGATTAATCCTTGTGGAAACAGCTCAAAATCTCATCTCCCATTGTTGGGAGGGAGTCTGGGGGTCGTAAAAGTGAAGAGAAAAACAGCAGCACAAAAGAAAAATAATGTAGCTTAAGCCTGTATCGGCGAGAAGGAACAAAATTGAATCACAAGATATGTTAAAAAAACTGTACAATAAAATTCGAAATAAATTTATTCGTCATTTTTTTATTTAATTTTTGTGTCCTATTGTGTCCGGGGTAAACTTAAAGAGCTCGCCAGGGCTTCATCACATCTGAAGATGAGATATTTATTTGTTTAATTTAACGTAATTGATAACTACGTATGTTTCAAGATAGGAATATTGAGTGGCGCATGGGCAGTCACTACGTTGATAAAGTTGCTCAAGGTTACCTTGTAACATGACTGTACGTACAAAACTAATTCCATCTCCAACCAGGATGGGAGGTACCCTCACACGCAACCTCAGCAATTTCACAAGCCCTACTACAAGAATTATGTCATCCTTCTTAATGACAAAAGACACGATCGCATCTGAACTGAGTTTAACTTTTTAATATACGTGGAAATAATCCACGCAAAAAAAAAAAACATTTACATAAATGTATACTTGAATTTGGAACATTTTAAGACAAAGGAATTTGGACCGAAGAGAGATGAAGTGACAGGAGGTTGGAGAAAACTGCATAATTAGGAGCTTCATAATTTGTACTCTTCTCCAAGTATAATTAGAATGATCAAGTCAAGGAGGATGAGATGGACAAGACATGTAGCACGAATGGGGTATAAGACTGTACCACTGGGAAGACCAAGGCATAGGTGGGTGGACAATATTAAAATGGATCTTAGAGAGATAGGATGGGATGGTATGGATTTGATTGATCTGGCTCAGGATAGGGACTAGGGGAGGGCTCTTGTGAACACTATAATGAACCTTCAGGTTACATAAAATACCGGGAAATTTTTTAGTAGCTGTACAAATGGCAGGTTCTCAGGAAGGTTCAGCTCCATGGGTGAAAGTATATCACAGCATGCCGTTACTTGTTTATATAACAAGTGCACTGTGCTTCCAGCACCAGGAACTTACCTGCACCGGCTAGCGGCCAGCGTCGCGGCGTCCTCTCGTGCAACACTGACGGGCGCTCTTCATGAAGTCAGCACGATCACTCGACAGATCTCTTCACAGGTTTGTTGTTATGACGTAGGATCGATCAATTCCGCCTAACTGAGTTTTCGTTTCAAGAGCCATCAGCTTGAGTTGCAGGGAAGCTCGACGAACGTCGCGTTCTTAGTACTTGTTAATTTCGGTGCCGTTCCAACAATACGTTCCACCCGTACACACTGCCGTTCTCCACTCACTTGCTCGATTTGCACCGAAAATGTAGGAAAGCAACGAGGATAAACTCGTGGTGCCAACTGAAGACTGGTATTCACTTGTTACATAAGTACTGAAGATGAATTATGTAAAACCGGTGTTTCCGTGATCCAACGAAACAGATTCTAACGATGATAATTATGGTGGTGACATCTAATTATATTAATGTTAAATACAACACCACTGAACATACTGCATACTACTACTTTGAGAATTAAAATTACGTGCGGTTACTCTGTCTGTTCGAGACAATAGTGCAGGCCCTTCTAATAACACTAACTGTTGCTTATGTATGAAATAGTATCCACTGCAAACAATGAACAGTTCAGTACCATCGTTGTCATTATGAACCCATTAGTACTGAAAATGACACTTGCATAATTATAGCCTTAACATATTTTCTTCGTTCATTCTAAACACGATATAATCAGAAGTGCTTCCTCCTACATTAATCCACTGAACGTGAAAATATCAGCAAGCACTTCATGGAATACTTTTCATTGACTTAAGAAATCTTTGTAACCAGAAGGGCCACTTTCTGCTAGTTGGTACTCTTTAGTGTGTTGCATCAAACCAATTACAGATAAGATGAACTTAATTTGAATTGATTTGTTCTTAACATAGGTTATCTAACGTCGCGTTTATCCGCGCATTACATTATACTGGTGTGTAAGAATGTCCTGAAAACCACCCCTTCGATGAGTGACTGTAGAATTGCGAATGAAACTTGCACAACATACAGAAGACAGTTCTTCCCACAGCTGAAGTTTACTTCACGAAATGCGCGGGCTTCTGAACTTGTGACTGCTCCAGGAGCAAGGTGAGACACAAAACAAAAATCTCGCACATAACTTCATACTATTTGAAATTCACGACAGAAACAGATTTCTTTGGCAAGCTTTCAGCATTAAAGTATTTGGGGCCATTTACACAATTTACCCTTCAGGTTAAACCAGGTACACGCATACATTGCGCAGACTATCAATGTGTCATCCAAACGCCCCGCCGGAGACCGACACAGTGCGCCAAACGGCAACTCACCACTGTCCATCGCAGCCCGGTACTGCGCCCTGCCGTCAGGAGCATTGCCCCCCCCCATAAGTTGAGCTTGCGTGGTGTCCCGCCAGAGCGCAGCACCGTGTAGCGACCCAACGCAACAGTCGATAGATCGGTATTTTATTTAACATGTTTGGCACACAATCACAATGATGTTACTTTATAATTGCGTTGCGAGAGGCACAGATGGGCTCCACACAACGGCAAAACAATAAATATACTGTATAAAGGCAGCAAAACTGATGTTATGGGACCGAAAAGGGGTATATATATAAACATAAAAATTAGAATATATAAAACTATAATTTTGCCTGAGGTTCTGTATGGGTGTGAAACTTGGTCTCTGACATTAAGGGAGGAACATAGACTGGGGGTATTTGAGAACAGGGTGTTGAGGAGAATATTGGGACCAAAGAGAGATGAAGTGACAGGAGGTTGGAGAAAACTGAATAATGAGGAGCTTCATGACTTGTACTCTTCTCGAAGTATTATTAGAATGATCAAGTACTGGAGGATGATTTGGGCAGGGCATATAGCACGAATGTGGGAGAAGAGGAATGTATATAGGATACTGGAGGGAAAGCCAGTAGGAAGACCAAGGTGTAGGTGGGTGGACAATATTAAAATGGAACTTAGAGAGATAGGATGGGATGGTATGGATTGGATTAATCTGGCTCAGGATATGGACCGGTGGAGGGCTCTTGTGAACACGGGAATGAACCTTCGGGTTCCATAAAATGCTGGGAAATTCTTGAGTAGACACAGATTTGGCTTCTCCTCAAGAAGGGCTCAGCCCCATAAGTAAGTATACATACACACACACACACACATTTTTATGTGTGTGTGTGTGTGTGTGTGTGTGTGTGTGTAAGGTGACTGCCTCTGTGGTCTAGTGGTCAGAGTTCCTGACTGCAGATCCAGAGCTCCGGGTTCGATTCTCAGCGATACCAGATTTTCTGAGTAGTGGGTCTGGAACGTGGTCCACTCAACCTCGTGAGGATAAGTGAGGAAATAGCGGCTCCGGTCTAGAAACCCGAGATTAACGGCCGTGCAGATCCGTTGCGCTGACCACGCGACACAGTCTATCCGCTAAAGTTGGCACTAACTTCGCCAACAAACGGCCGTCGTTCGGTCGGTATAGTTCGCTTGTGGACAAAACCAAGGAGTTATACGTATACATAAGGCGACAAGGCCAGTGGTAACTGTCGTGGCACCCAGCCCAAATTTGTGTAGTGGGGAAAGGTTACCGCTGTCCTGATTCGATTCTCCGAAGCCCTTATAGTCGAAGTAGACGACCTCTTGCGTCCACACACTTTTCAATTCATTACTTGCATGACCGTACCATTCTACGCCATATAGTATGAGATCCAGACGGCGTCGTTAAATAAGTAAATAAAAGCCACCAAAAATTATGTATAAGTGCTACGAGCCCCCTCATTGTCTATCCTTCCTTCCTGATTTTCAATTCAATTCGTGTTTATTTACGTGCAAACTTAACAGACAGAGACCAATTACAAAGTTAGCACGAATAGAGAGAAATACACAAAAATAATTTAAAAAACGGAATACAAAATACGATAGTCTACATTAATTACAAAGTGAGCATGAATAAATATACAGAAACAAACGCACACAGACAAAGCCACAATATGAGAGCGAAGAACAATTCGAGTTTCAAATAGAGCAGTATACAATAATAAAAATAATAGCAATAATAATACTATTAATAGCGAAATTAATGATGATAATAATAATAGTCTAATTAATTCAATATAAAATATGTTTCAACAACAGAGTTTTTGGTCCAAAGACATTCAACGTCCATACAAACAACATTAGCAGCAGAAGCGCATCTAACAGAGGGGCAATTTTTACTAACAGAACAGACACTGAACAGAGTAAAGTCTCGGATATATCGAACAGAGACCCGAAGGCCCTCAATTTCCAAAGCAGAAGGGCAAAGTATAGAACCACGATAAACTTCAAAGAGGAAGAGTGCATCAAGGTGTGCAATTTGAATTGTTCTAAAGCAAAATCACAAGGCCGGGCGCACATCAAGGAAACTGACAACCGCAACGCAACCACGATTTCCGAGACATATCGCCGATTTTAAGCAGGCAACTGGTTTCCAAATTAGAAGGTGCACACTGAGGAAACTTACGTTCGATTAGTTGCTCACATCTCAAGTGGGTGTGTTTGCCCGCCAATTTCGTGCACTTCTCTTCTGCAAAGTAAGATAATAATATTGTTCCTGTAATTATATGGTGGTGGTTCACATGGCGTAAGATGAGAATACAGGAGAAAAGAAAACATTGGGTGCACCCGTTCTTTCTCTATAATTTAAACTCAGGTGTCTACATTGTTTTGAAATAATTTAATCGGGATACAGAACTGTGCAAATCATTTTACAGAATGAGCATTGAAAGTTTTTCCCTTTTAGTGGATATTGTAGGATCTCAAATTCGAAGAGAGAAGATACAAATTTTTGTATAGCTGTGTCAGCAGAACCATAGACAAAATTATAGTTTTGTATATTCTAATGTTTATGTTTTTAGACAGCAGACGAGAAGACAAAAGGTTGTGGACTGAATGGTAGCAAGCATTATGCGAGTTCAATCCCTTAATTTCCTCCTGAATCATGTTTTCGTTTATCGTCGTTCCCAAATATTTGAACTGTGCCACATTTTCAAAACATCTGTTATCTTTGTAAGTTTTGAGGTTTTCACGGCGATGACAATGAAGAAAGTTGTCTTCTGGGTTTAGGCACCGTGTATTCTTCGTTTTGGCCGACGTTTCGGAGGAACGTCGGCCAAAACGAAGAATACACGGTGCCTAAACCCAGAAGACAACTTTCTTCATCTGTTATCTTTCTTTATGTCAGGATTTTGCCCTGCATTTTGGTGATGAGACAGCAACATATACTTAGTTTTCTCTGTGTTTACTTCTAGACCAACCTCCTTACTTGCGTCAAATAAATTTTTTATGTTTCTCTTTATGGTATCTATATTATCACCCAGTAGATTCACATCACCGGCATAGACCAGCAGCTGATGTGTACCATTCAATTTCAGTCCCACCTGGTTTCCCTGGACCTTCCTAATGGCATATTCTAAAGCAAACTTATAAAGGAGTGGCGATAAAGCATCTCCTTGTTTTAGATCATTCAGAATAGGGAAATTATCAGAAAAATGTTTACCTATACAGACTTTAAAATACGTTGAGTTTAAACACATTTTAATCAGCCTGATTAGTTTCATGGATATTCCAAACTCTATGAGAATACTGTATAATACTTCCCTCCTAACTGAATCATAGGCTTTCTTGAAGTCCATGAATAGCTGATGTACTCTTATTCTATTCCCATTTTCTCCAGTTATCTGACAAATGCAAAAGAGCTGATCAGTAGTTGATCTGTTATGTCAAAACCCATACTGATGATCCCCAATAACTTCATCTATGTATGGACTTAACATTTAGACAAGAATATTGGATAAAATTTTGTATGAAGTTGATAGCAGTGATATCCCCCGATAATTTCTACAGTCTGTTCTATCACCCTTCTTGAGAACTGGGACACTAATAGACACATTTTTCCTTATGCCAGACAGAATTAATTAGCTTGTGGATCTTAGAATGTAATATTTAGCCTCCTGCTTGAATAAGTTCTGCCGGAATTTGATCACTACCTGGCAATTTATACCTTTTCAATTTTGCCATAGCAATTTCAACCACAAAAGGGCTAGGACCAGGTACTAACAGCTCAGCTGTATGGATTTCTATCTGCCTAAAATCACTGACTCTATGTACATTCAATAACTGAGAGAAGTAGTTCTTCCACCTATTCAAAAAGTTGTGGGAATTTGCAAACAAATCACCATTCTCATCCTTCACTAAGTTACTTCTAAGTTGTTAACCCCTCTCAGTCATTTATTCCTCTATACAGGTCTCTTAATGTTCTAGTTCGTACTGTTCATTGCAAGCTCAATTTTGTCTTTCAGATATTCCCTCTTTGTATTTCTGAAATGCCTGCTGGTTTCACGTCTTATATTTTTCAGAGTATCCCCATTTATTTTGCTTGGATCCTGTAACCACTGCAGTTTGACTTGTTTTCTTTGGTCTAATAATTCTGAGCATCCTTCATCAAAATATGGCTTATGCTTCTTCAGCTCATAATAACCTAGACTCTCCTTGGCAGAAACTCCCATTCCCAATTGTTGGTTTGAAATGTCTTCCCTACCTACTTTGGCATCGAAATCTCCTAACAAAATTTTCACATTGTACTTCAGGAATTTATCAAATACATGTTCTTGTTCTACATAGAACCTGTCCTTCAAATCAATTTCATGCTGCTGGTTTTCAGGGGCTTGTGAAGCGATGGGATAAGTGCCTCAACATACAGGGAGATTATGTTGAGAAACAAAAGCATTTTCAAACCAGTATTCTTATTTAAGTTATATATCCATTTGTAACTTACTTACTAACTTACCCTCATGTATATATTTATATATACACACAACAAGCCATCATAAAATAAACGTTGTCAGTTATGTATACAATATCTGTAATTAAAATAAATCTACAAGAACATAAAACCAATTATTGAATTGTTATAAAACAATATACTCCTACCAATTACAAATCTCAATCTATGGTTTAAAACAATCTATTTGTACTTGTTGCTACTAAAACTCTCATATTCCTTACTTCAGTCAACAACTTCGCAACAAGTACATCATTTTCATAAGTTTCACACTCCTTCTCAGTCACAATTATCTAATCATATCCCTAATTATTTGCTCTGCAGAAAATTTCACAGACGATGTAAACAACGTTTCTTTTATGGAACAGCAGCAATAAAATGCAAAAATCGAAAGCCTTATTTCTAACAATAATATACCTCTACGCTGAGGAGCTCTTGCTCAATTAACTCCACACAAAACCTTTGGCAGGTTCGTCAATTTTTCGTGCCACAAAAGAAAACAAACAAACGAAACATTCCTGCTCGTTACAGAACAGCTGATTTCTAAGAATCCACGCGGCAACTCAGTCGAACTCAATCGTGTGGAGACTGGCATACTGCCTGGAAATTGAGTTTCTCAGTCTCCCCGCAAGTTGCGTTTCCGTTTCCTCAATTTGCGCTGCCCCATTTGCCAGTTTCCTTGGTGTGCGCCCGGCCTAACAGTGATCAACATGAGGAAAAAAACGTTTAAAACAGAGAGCCATAAACTTCTGCTGAATGAGTTCTAGTTTGTTTGAATCAGTTGACGTGACGGAATACCAAACTACAGAAGCGTATTCAACCTTGGATCTAGCTTCCCGCAAGAGATCTCGCTTGCTTGTTGCTTGGCTTGCCATTTGACCCTGAAGGTGGGGGCAGTACATTCTTGCGAAACATCGGTAAACTTTATACCATACTACACAGCATCACATTTGCAGAAGAATGTGTGCTCCTCAGAATCCCTTCTGTGATAGCTTCGAATCTGACATGATTTAAAACAAGATGACCATAATTCGGACAATCTGCATGCATACCAAAATCCTCAAATTGTCGCCGAGCATAGCACATGCTTTCAAGCTGCTCAAATCAGTATGAAATCAGAGGTTAATATAATCGAAAACGGAGGTTAATATTGTGTACATTCGTTTTGCACTTATTCACTTTCGTTGAAGCTTCATATTTGGGAATGTTGTACTGGATGGGGGCATCGTTGCCATCGCCGCAGTGGATGGTGTGCGAGTGTGGTAGCATTCACTTGGTATGTTTTTTTTTTTGTCTGTCTGTTGAAGTGTACTGAGAACGGTATCGAGCGGTATCGAGATATCTAACATTGCGAGTATTGCTACGACCTGCGACAGTGCTAGTGGTGCTAGCACAAGTGCGATTGTTGCAACTTTTCTTCTTTGTGATCCGCCCATCTCGGACAATTTCGAAGCCTAGATAAATACGAGCTGATTATGATACGCTGCAGCCTAAAATAATAATAAATGCGTTGTGGGAAAAAATATATTATAGAATCTCAAGTTTCGTGATATTAACACCGTTATAGGGGTATTAAAAAAAAGGAAACTGAGCGAACACAGCGTAACATAACCTATAAGATAACATGACCTACATAACGTGTATTAGCTCTTAGTCCGTCAGCACCTTACAAGCGGTCAGAAGTGATTAAATATTCAGTTCACAGGACAGCAGACGTCCTTTACGGAAGAGAAAAGCAATCAGAATTGCTCGCAGAAAACGCCATGCTGTGCTATGTGTTGTGGCGAGACATTGGGTGAGCAGTTTTCTTCTTGGAGCACTCTTAGCTTCAGCTTTACTGTATTATGCACTTCTAGATCGTCAAGGTGGGTATGCAGTTATTATATGTGTTATGATGATGGATGACATCTCATTTTTTAATATTTCGAAGCCGAATTTATTGAAACTTGTGCTTTAATAATATAAACGATGAAGAACCAATATTTGTTGTCCACATACGTTTTAGTGTTTAAAGTTGAAATGTAGTGCCTTTTTTGTGCTCAGTGAAACATCTCTGTGTTAGCATAAGTGTTAGGTCACAGTTTTGATTGAATATTCTGAATGGTGGGTAGGTGGAGGCTTTGTGAATCTCCCCTGTGAAAGGAGTGGTTCTAGCTCTTATCTACGAATCCTGCCACCAACAAGACTTCTTTTTATTGGAACTAAAAATTTACTCTTGCAAATAAAACCCTTCTTCACATCATCTCGTGTAAGTTTGACATTATTGTTCCTGGAATGTAAAAAACACCTATAGTACTCTGTATTTTATATATACGGTCCCTCTATGGATTTTGGGGCTGCTTTGTCACTGTGATGTATTGCTGTTCACAGTCGATGGGAACAACATGCTGGGTTTCACTGGCCGGGAGGCACGGCTGGCGGGGAGGGTACGTGAGATGGAAGAACAAAACCAGCTTTTACGTCGTCAGCTCAGCATATCTCAGAGCCACCTCGTTGCAGCTATGCGAAGTAGCAATCATACACCAACACAAAACTTTGTACAGCCTACCCATGACCATCCAGGCCCATGCCCTAATCAAGTATGTTGACAGATATCTACTAAGTATGTGAGCCAGACATACCCAGACTTGCCCATCTGTGGCCGTTTCTCTGTTTTCTTTGTTACCTGAGGATCACATGTTTCAGTTGAGAAGAGTCCACATAAAATACATTGGTGAGCTCTGTAAGAATTATTCACCTCCCCCATAAGGAAAAACTTCTTGTAGCAAAAAAAGAAAGGCTACATATAACCTAGATGCCTGGGGACTCAAAAAAGAGAGAGACTTCTTTTCACAGTATGCCTTCCATCATCTGTGTGTGTGCTTTTATGTGAAGTTAACATTTGTCAGTTTCAGACGGAACTTGGATAACTGAATAACGTGGAAATTTAGAAAGTGTGTGATGGTTTTTTCATTCTTCTTGTTTAGTTCAGTGTTGTAAAAATCTGTCACCATCAATTCTCTTCTGTAAAGGAAGACACATATACTCACATCTTGCAAGCATTACATATTTTATCTTATTATTTCTGTAAATACAATGTAGTGTAATTTAATGCAGTGTAAAGGTCTCTTTTGTTTTATGCACAGGTATGAAGCATGTTCACATATTTTGCAGCTAAACAACCAAGATGCCAGGGGATTGCAGCTAGTAGTAGTACAGTCAACACACAGTAAACAAGAATGATGTTCTCAAAATGATTGTCTTTATTTAGATAATATGTATATTATCATCATCAAATAGCAGCTAGTGTTTTTTCTTTAACTTGCTTTCTGCTTCTGTGCAGCCATGCCATAGAAACCACCAACGTGATCCAACACAGTGAACAAGGCAGCAAACGATAACACAAATTGAATGAATGAATGGGTAGTAATATTCATGGTTTAATGGATCATAATTGAGTAATGTCATTGACAGTTCTTGCACTTAGGTTCTTTGCTTAATTAACAGCATTTGTTACAGAAAGGTGGCTTGATTTATTGTGTGTGTGTGTGTAAATGTAGATCACTTTGGAATAGATACCAGAAATAGGTACAAATTTATTAAATGAGAAATTTTCTTAAAAGAAGTTTATGACAGAATAAACTCTAAGATGGGGAAACTTTTATGTGTAAGAACTTGCTACACAAATTTTAAGTTCTTTTAACATCTGGTTCATATTTCTTGATTTCGGAAACCAGCTTGTAGGGGAAACTTTATATTTAGAAACTCCTTGTCACAGAAACACTGTATTTATTGTGGAGGAAATCAGTGATGGTGTTTATAGAGGCCTAGCATTCTAGCTAGCATGTAGTTTATTGTAGAAGAAGATTGTACTTTAATGTTTTTTCAGGAAGCAGATGTGCCGAAGTGTGAAGTGGTGCACGTGGCGATCGTATGTGCTGGATACAACTCCAGTCGCTCAGTTGTTACGCTTATCAAATCAATACTATTTTATAGCAAGAATCCACTTCATTTTCACCTCATTGCTGACTCAGTTGCACAGGTCATCCTCCAGACTTTATTTTACACTTGGAGTGTACCACAAGGTGAATAAACTTAAATATGGGAAGTATTAGGTAGTGTTGGAATCTTCGCTGAAATTTAGAGCATATTTTCATGGGCATGAATGCTTTGGATGTACCCAGCCACTGAACAGAAGGGCCACTCTCTGCTGTGAGGTAGCCAAAATGTAGTACAGGCATACTTTGTAAGGTGTGTGGTGTGTAGTACAACATATCCGTTTGTGTATGTTGTTCTGTCAGCTGTAATTTGCTTGACGCTCTGTCTGATTGTGGACTAACTACATACACATCCAGTGTATGATCTGTGTAATTCCATCCTTAGGTGACAGCCTATCCCGTGTCAATGTAGCCACATATATGCCATCTGAATGAAAATATCCTGCAGAACACCTGTGTTTGAACACCACAAAATATTTCAGACATCAATCAAGGCACATAATGAGCTTCCCAAACAGAGTACTACAGTCAAATTTAGTTAATGTTAAACTGAAATGTATGACTAAACATTGCAAAATGATGAGTGTAGCTTCAAAATTGTATGCTTGCTGGGTCTGGAGTAAAACCCTGCAATGAATAAAAAAACATTGTGATCATTCATATGTAAAGTAAAATAATTCATGCCATGAAGATATATTGGGGAGGGGATTTGGCTACATGCATTCTAAACCTCAGTGATAGGTGCAGGTGTGTGGTCCCCTGTGCCTTGGATGCTTTTGCTCTGGGGAAGGAGTCCCCAGTACCTGTTGGATGCAAGGGTTAGTGGGCCCCTGAGCCATTCTGAATATGGGAGAGAAGAGTAAATCCTAGTTCTAGCATGTATTGAAATCCCAGTACTCTCTGATTGCTCCTGTTTTTTAAGTCACTGATGGATTTGTGTTCCTGAAGGCACAGTATGTGAAATTGTTATAGCAAAATTGTATCCTGTTTATCTAAACTTATTCCTCATTAAACAAAAGTTCAGACAGAAAATAATCTTATTATTGAATGTAATAACATGAACAATGAAACGGTTATTTGATACAGCACAGGCTGGTTTGCGTACGCTTTGACATTGCAGTATTTACATTTTTTAAAAATATCTGCTTAGCATTCTTGCTCAAGAATAACAGACTGCCTTTTATTAAAGAACAGAAATCATTTGAATGTGGTTGTATTTTATGTATTCTTTGCGCAGCGGAAGTGAGTTTTTATCTGGCGGACAATGTGGTGCCAGATGTGTCGTGGATTCCCAACAAACACTATTCTGGTGTGTATGGCCTGCTGAAACTCACACTGCCCAAAGTGTTGCCTGACACACTACAGAAAGCCATTGTACTGGACACAGACGTTACCTTTGCCACAGATATTGCGGCACTATGGAAGATCTTCTCCAAGTTGAGTCCCAAACAGGTGTAGTCCTTTTCTGTTTCTATAGTTGTTAGACTTGAATTGTGTATCAGAATGGATTCCTTCCAACTGTGGCATTCATGTCACATCACAGATGTTTTCATGGTATTGCATTTGGTGTTGCAGATTGACAAGATTGACAGGATGTTTATGAGAATTTTTCATGTGAGAAAATTCTGGAATGTGATTTTATCTTCCAACTTTCTTAGGCAATTGGTCTTGTTGAGAACCAGAGTGACTGGTACCTGGGGAAACTGTGGAAGAAACATCGACCATGGCCTGCTCTAGGTCGAGGGTTAGTATTTTTATCATTTATAATATAGCTGACTGGTTCGTTAGTGAGCCTGTGGTATTTACAATTGAGCAGAATGACAGATAATGTGACATAACTTTTTTAATGTATAGATTGACATTTGAATCAGAATGTCAAATGAATGTTTCTTTCAGGTACAATACAGGGGTAATTCTCCTACAACTCCAGAGGCTTCGTGAATTGGGATGGGGTCACTTGTGGCGTCTTATAGCTGAAAAGGACCTCATTACTATGCTTGCAACTAGCTTGGCTGATCAGGACATTTTCAATGCCATTATCAAGCAACACCCATACCTGGTGTACAACCTGCCCTGTCAGTGGAATGTGCAGTTGAGTGACAACACTCGCAGTGAGCTCTGTTACACTGAGGTCACTGACCTCAAGGTGTGTCTGTGTTCGATCATAGGTTTGATGTTGGCACATATTTTTTTGTGCACAGATCATGGTCAAAGTGTGGATTTCCAGATTGTAGAAGTAATCGGGCCAGTGCAGGCTTTCTACTCCACATTAACTTGTTCTTTCTGCAGGCAGTCAGTCCTCTCATAAATGGGAGTGGTGGTATGTACAGTTACCATTCCATCCATATCATTTTTTTTACAAATGTGTGTTTTGAGGTGTACTACGCTGAATCACTGATATGTAGTCCCAAAAGCAACATCAAGTGGTGTGATAGTGTTTTTGGGGTGCAGCAATTTGATATGGGCTACGTAGCAGTAAAATGGGGAAGGGCATTTAAATGTCATTATATAAAACCAATTTGATGTGCACAAGAAATGGGTTAACCTTGTAATGTTTGCACGGGCACATTGTTTTTGGTTCAGGATGACACATCATAATTAAAAGTAGCAAATCTCTTGAAGTTAAACCTTGCAGTCAGTTAAAGAAAATTACAGCTGTGCATAAAGTCAAAGTGCATCCAGATATACAAGTATCTCATGTTACCGTTTCTTTTCACACATTTCTTGTTTGCCATTCATATTCATGGAGGCAACAGGTTTCTCCGAAATGTTGATATTCACCTTTGTGGATGATATATCCTTTGTAATTTCACAATGTAAGAGACAAGTTTGAACAGTCACCACAGTGAGGACTTTAAAATTTAATTATTGGAGTGACGAGCCATCAAGTGTAACAAATTTAATATATTTTTGATTTGTTTCATCCTGGTCCATCACACTAACAGTATTATGAAAGGTTAATTAATTCTGTCCAGTGTTACTGATGGAGTTTCTCTCCTTTTTAATATTTTATCCTTAACATGTTTCAGTCTTTTAGACCATCCTCAGAAGGATATCAGTACAATTAGAAACCACTATTATAATAAAGTAAAAAGAAAGGTAAAGGCATCCCTGTAACAGGCCGTGGAGGCCCATAGGGTTGTGAGATGTTGAGGTTCCCACATTTTCTAGACAGTCGGCTCATAGATGGCCCCAAGGTTGTCAGCCTTGCGCGCTGACCACCCTTTACCCCCTTAAACAATATTCCAAGAATATTCCTGGTACTCATTTCTGTTAGAGGCTGAGTCGACCACAGGGCCATAATGCAGCTAGAAGGATTAGGTCAATTGAAAAAAGTCTAATGACCTCATCAGGACTTGAACCCACTACCTTCCATCTTGTAGCATAGTGCCTCAACCAAATTGGTTTGTGAATATTAATCTATACATACAATGTTATCATAATACAATGAGTACAAAATCTAATGTTTTTAACAACTACAGTGGCTTGTACTGATACGTAAAAATATTTATAAATTACAATTAGTATGTTTAAAAGATTTTGTTAAAATTTTTTAAAGCAAATCGGTTCATGTCCTATTTATTTATTCTCTTTGAAGGAAGCCAAGCGTCTACCGCCTTGTGGTTCTGTTGTTTGGAGAACAGGATTCTGCAGATATATTATGGGTATCATGTAGTATTTCTGTAAACCCTATTTTGTTATAAATCGCATAAAAATAAAATTCTTCCGCTGTCCATAGCAGTTCTCAGTATGCCTATATATGAACATGGTGTTTCAGCCATTTGCATGAAAAGTTTCCAAAATTTCTAGTATGACTGGATATGTGTGTGTGCTTGTAGTTATGTAGCTGTTTTTTAATTACGTGACTATCCAGGCACCAGCAAGCTTCATATTCAGGATGTCAGAAATGTACTGTAGGAAACATGGAGTAATTGTCACATTATTTTTATTGAACAAGCACCACATAGGCCTTAACTGTATAGTGTTCATAGGCATTTCAGATAAAAGTATTGTTTTTTTCAGGTTATACATTGGAATTCTCCTAAGAAACTGAAAGTGAAAAACAAACATGTGGAATTTTTCCGTAACTTATATCTAACATTCTTGGAATATGATGGAAATTTACTGAGAAGAGAATTGTTTGGTTGTAACAATACAAAGATGTCGCTGAAGGATAGAGAGCTGAGTAAGGTCAGTGTGATTAGTCTGATTTGGTCATTTCTCTACTGCCATAAGCCTCGCATATTCAGCTAGGTCCATAGAGCAGAGTTCTTCTTCTTGGGAAAGTAGTAGTAGTTGTTGAACCTGCCAACAAATATTATATCGTGTATAGGTTAGTTTCTCCAGGTGGGACTGAAATGAAACACGACACATCAGCTGTTGGTCTACACCGATGATGTGAATCTACTGGGCGAAAATGTAGATACCATAAAGAAAAGCACACAAGCTTTAATTGACGCAAGTAAAGAGGTTGGTCTAGAAGTAAACACAGAGGAAACTAAGTATAAGTTACTGTCTCGTCACCAAAATGCAGGGCAAAATCATGACATAAAGATAGGAAACATATGTTTTGAAAATGTGGCACAGTTCAGATATTTGGGAACAACGATAACAGTCCGAAACCTGAATCAGGAGGAAATTAAGAGGCGATTAAACTCGGGTAATGCTTGCTACCATTCAGTCCAGAACCTTTTTGTCTTCTCGTCTATTCTCCAAAAACATAAAAATTAGAATATACAAAACTATAATTTTGCCTTTGGTTCTGTATGGGTGTGAAACTTTGTCTCTGACATTAAGGGAGGAACATAGACTGAGAGTGTTTGAGAACAGGGTGTTGAGGAGAATATTTTGACCGAAGATAGATGAAGTGAAAGGAGGTTGGAGAAAACTGCATAATGAGGAGCTTCATAACTTGTACTCTTCTCTAAATATAATTAGAATGATCAAGTCAAGGAGGATGAGGTGGGCGGGTCATGTAGCATGAATGGGGGAGACGAATGCGTATAGGATGTTGGTGGGAAAGCCGGAAGGAAAGAGACCACAGGGAAGACCAATTCGTAGGTGGGTGGACAATATTAGAATGGATCTTAGAGATGTAGGATGGGATGGTATGGATTGGATAGATCTGGCTCAGGATAGGGACTAGTGGAGGGCTCTTGTGAACACGGTGATGAACCTTCGGCTTCCATAAAATGCTGGGAAATTCTTGAGTAGCTGCAGAATTGGCAGATTCTCCAGAAGGGCTCAGCTCCATGAGTAAATAAGTAAATAGGTTAGTTTCTTCATTTATAAGACTGTGCCATTGGACTATATCCTCAGCAAGTTAATTGCAGCCTGCACTTTTTCACAAGGTCAGTTTGACTGCTTTTCTTCTCAGTGATCATGACTTTTAGAGACCTCTGATGGACACTAAGTTCTGAATTTGGTGTCAGTTTCTGTTGCCTGGGTCATTTAAAGAACTGTGTACAGTTCCAGGGCCCTGTGTAATATTTTGTAACATGCTGACTTTTTCACAATGAGGCGTTATTACTTTTGCCCCCACCCCCCAAGCATTCATCTAGGAGGTATCGGTCCTCAGTCCTTGCAAAGGGTGTCAGGTAAGATTGTGGACACCCTGCAACTTCTGTATGTGTTGTGGGCCAAAGGGGTCAGTATATTTACAAGAAGTGGTGTACACAGTCTGCACAGTTTGCATGTTTGGGTAGTGGAGAATCCTGATGCTCAATATTAGAGTCAATTTTACCGACCACACAACATACCTTTACTACTATCACACTACATGTTTCGACCTCAAGAGGTCATCCTCAGGTGTACGAACACAGTTGTATAATTACACGCAATCACATTCGTCTTCTCAGTTATTCGATCCTGTATCTTATTCAGGCCCACGCTCAATAATATATCAAGTTCCTCTCACAAAACACAAGTTAAAGTATTATTCTAAATGTCAAAAGTTAAAGTTTCAAAATTTAGAATTAAAAATTTGTGAGTCAAGTTTCAATTCAGATCACTAGTTATGCTTTCACTTTCACGTGTTATTCAGTCACTTCCTACTTACGCTCATCACTGCGTCAAGTTCACTTTAACTAGTTTAATTATATTATTGGTTAAAAGCTCATGAATTAAATTTCAGTTTTATTATATTGATTGCACTTTTCACTTTTTGGAGGTCTCGCTGTTCTTCCGCATCCTCTGATGTTGTTGGATCTGTTACGGTCCTTGTTGTAGCCATCACAAAATAAGCCTAATAGTTCTGTATAGCTTTTATTATATTTTCATCTCTACTTGATCTCCCCAACAGCCCCTTTAAGTATTTTACTAGAGCTGAATGATTCAGTTTGTTGTCTTACAGCTAAATGAAGAGGATCCGTGTTATGAATTCCGTCGTGCTCATGTGAACAGTTTGCGGACGCATCTGTACTTTCTAGATTATGAGTATGAGCCGTCAGCTGATGGGTATGATGTCACACTGGTTGCTCAGCTGTCTATGGATAGGTTGCAAATGGTTGAGGCCCTTTGCAAACACTGGGAAGGTAAGGCAGCTAGTTTTGTTACTGGCATCATAAAATTTGTGTGTATGAACATTATTACAGTGAGAGAGTTGTATTTTTAAAACTATCAGTGCAAGTGTTGCAGATTTGTGTCTGATTGTGTAAACTGGTATGACCATAAGAACAGATCTGCATGTAGGAAGATGCCCATATCAGTATAGAGACCAGACAGAATTGCAGTTTGTGTACTTGCTATGAACATGTTTTCTTAATTTTTCTTTGTTACTGTCTCTGGCGTGACAAACAAAGCACGTATATGTCTATGTTTCAGGACCGATAAGCCTTACTCTGTACATGTCTGATGCAGAAGCCCAGCAGTTCCTGAGCTATGCCTTGAGTTCTGAAGTTCTGAGCAGTAGAAAGAATATTGGCTATCATATAGTATACAAAGAAGGTGTAGGTATTGGTGCTGTTTGAAAATAATATTAATAAACCTGCCTAGCTTCTCTCTTTGTTTCTGTTTATGTGAAACTAATACAGCAGCACCGTTTAGATCAGATGTGAAGATATGGTGATTTTTATTTTTCAGAGCTTTTACCCTGTGAATTTTCTTCGAAATGTGGGTCTACAGCAAGTGAACACACCGTATGTCTTCCTCACTGACATTGACTTCCTTCCAATGTATGGCCTGTATTCATATCTCAAGAAGTCTATACAAGTTCTCAGTTTGGACTCTGCAAAAAAGGTATCCTTTCGAAAATATGGCATCTTTTTTGGTACTGTTCCAGGCATCTGAAATATTGTTTTCCAGTTTTTTGTGTTGCCTGAACTATAGACTGTTAATCAGTAAGATAATTTATATATATTATGAGCTTGGTAGTTGGCAAATTTAGTGGATTTTCTATTGCTTTAGAACCACAAACATGACCATTATTGCAAACTCCTGCTTTTAGGCCCAGTTCTGAGTCATTTGAAATGATTAAATACTGTGTAAGATCTGAGATTCTCAAAATGGTCACTATGAAGATTGCTGTCTACTGAGATTTGACACATTTTGGAAGAGCCTTCTGTCTCCATTTTCAGGGTAGAAGAGGGGTGGAAGAGTCACCCCTTCTTTTACTATGAAGATGGAGGTAGAAAGTCCCCCAGAATGTTGGTAGCCCTCTGTCACACCATGCTCCATCACATCCTGGAAGTTCATAGGTAAAATTATATTCCCAGGTGCTCTCTATCCAGATACAATATATTGTAACATGTAACATGTTATATGTCATCCATCGTTGAGCAACAAAACAATGAAAATTGTAGAGACCGTGTTCATTGTGTAACAACGCTTGGTAAACGCCCCTCCCCACTAGGCTGTGACGTCATGCAGCAGGGGAGTCCATGCAGTGACTGTTGCTAGGCAATTGGTAAACGCATTTTCTGTATGGTCAGTTCGGAAACTACATAACGAGAGTACTTGTCAGTATTGAGTTGAAGTTATGAGTTACGAGTTATGAGTATTGAGCAGTTGAGAGTGGCGGAAGCAGGTGCAATGGAACCAAGAATGCCAAGCGTGATTTAGAAGACTTCATATGTGTGATGGCGCATGCAACAGTGAATTAGAAGATCTGGTGTATGTAAATCAGTGATAGCACTATGTATTTTGAGTGTAATCGAGAGAGTGTGTGTAACCAAGCTGACAATAAATCCAATCATCCGAACTAGAACCCGTCATTTTGTCACGTGTACCCTCCTACACATGACAATATGTATACGCACAAATATAATTCCAGTTGAGGTTTCAGTAGCAGTTCTGAAAGGGTAAAGAAATTGTTCCCTTTTATTAGGTCACAGTACCCATTCTTATTTTCATGCATGTCCTGTGTCCCAGTGTGTTTCCAAGCGCTGAGCAAGGCTGTTTCCCATCACCACGTGTGCAAAGAATTGATCTGCGTGCTAAGCCATCAGTTAGTATATACACATTTTCATTTTTAATAGTTGTTGCTGGCAGGGCATGTAGCACGAATGGAGCAGAAGAGGTATGCAAATAGGATATTGGTGGGAAAGCCAGAAGGAAATAGACCACTGTGAAGACCAAGATGTAGGTGGACAATATCAAAATGGATCTTAGAGAAATATGATGGGATGGGATTGATCTGGCTTAGGATAGGGACCATTGGAGGGCTTTTGTGAACATGCTAATGAACCTTGGGGTTACATAAAATGCTGGGAAGTTCTTGAGTAGCTGCACAATTGGTAACTTCTCAAGAAGGGCTCAGCTCCATGAGTGAGTGAATAGTTGTTGCTGTTTGATGTGTATTGATAGGAAGTAATTTTGTGTTCAAGGCTAATGCCGTATGACATTGGTATGTGTCAGGTCCAAGTGCAATGCGTCACTGCATTCAGAATTCATTAAGTAGTTGTTATATTGATGTACACTTCCATCATGGAGGACAGTCTTTGTAGTCCACTTTTCACCTAGCAGATGCTTAAGAGGATAACAAAATAAGGATATTACAATGATAAGGTAAACTTATATCTGTTTGTGTTTTAAATTGGAAATACCCAACAAGGTTACTCCTAAGGGTGTGAAATGGGCAAGGTCCAGAATTCATAAATGCAGTAGCAACACCCTATGATTTTGAATTATTTGTGGTGTGGCGTAAAACGTGATACAAGGTTTGAATTAGAAAGGCAGTTGCAGAAGTGAGATTGTTCTGATGCATTGGCGACAAGAGATTGCAAGCAGCATTTGGGAGGGTAACTTGTGATTGGTCAGTAGCACTGCAAGACAAGTGGTTTAGGAGTTCGGCGGACACCTCACTGCAGCAAATACAGACTACTCAGAGACAAACATATATGGTGAAAGTGTTTCTCAGTTTGAAGCATTATGGGTTTTTCTGTCGACCCATTTTCTGCAATTAATACAGATACAAGTATTATCTTCATAGTGTGCATCCTGTTGTGTTTTCGAAACATATGTATAGTAGTTATGTTAAACCGTCACCACATCGAACGAGTGCACAGTGTAGTACACATCAAACATGTACATGCCAAGACTAGAAAATGCATACGTCATATTAATGATCACATAATAACACAATCCATATCAGGAAATACGCATACCCAAAACATCACACATTCATAGCAACCTGTATATCATTGACACCCCTTGACTTAACGACCCGGTTTTACTACATGGATGCTTCTAACAAGGATCCACAAATTAGATAATATGCCTAATACTACACTGTAGCACCTGACCCTTAGAATTAGCTAGGCCTATATACTCTTAACCTCTTAATGACGTAATAAGTTATAATGTTTTAAATATTTTAATATTTTGTAATATAATCAACATACTTGTATACACTTTTAATATATCCTAGATACATGTTATATATTTTTAGTTTATATACTTAATTGTAAATTTCTGTTATCTGGATCTGTATTAGCAATTCAGTGGCTGGACATATCCCATATTAACTGCCTGAAGATGGTCCTATGTGACCGAAACATGTAGAAAAATAAAGGTTTAATTGTAAACATTAAAAGCGAGTATACATTCATTGTGGTGACAGTTTAACATAACTAACTGAGACATGTATATGAAAAACCATTCACAGTCAGATTTCCTGACAGGAGAAAATGGGAAGACGGGTTTCAGGCTGATAGAAAAGGGGGACTGATCTGGTATACAGATGGTTCCAAGATAAATAAGGGCACTGGAGCTGGTGTGTTCTGCTATGGCATGAGGTGGAAACTTAGTTTCAGCCGTGAGCAGTACATGACAGTATTCCAGGCAGAAGTATATGCCATTAAGGCATGTATTATGGACAATCTAGATAGGAACTACAGAAATAGGAACACCTACATTCTATCTGACAGCCAGGCTGCACTTCAAGTGCTTGACAAACACCAGATCAACTCAAAATTGATCTGGGATTGCCACCAAACTCTCATGGAAGTGGCCAAACATAGCGGTACAACTGATATGGTTGCTGGAGCATGAGGGTATTGCTGGAAACGAAATAGCAGACCAATGGACAAAGATTGGAGCTGAACATCCATTCATAGGACCTGAACAAGCCTGTGACGTCTCTATAGGAGTTGCCAGACAGGCAGTCAGGGACTGGACAAATATGAATCACAAGAAATAGTGGGGATCCCTGACTGAACTCAGGCAAGCAAAGGGACTCATACAAGGAACATCTGATAAAATAGTGAAGGAACTGTTGAAGTTAAACAGGAACCAGCTACGATGGGTGGTAGGACTACTTACAGGACACTGTCACCTCAAAGGACACCTCTTCAAATTTGGACTAAGTAACAGTCCAACTTGTGAGAGGTGCCAAGAAGAAAATGAAACAGCCACACATATCGTGTGCAAATGTGAGGCCTTAGCTTATTTAAGACTGTGCCACTTGGGTCAGTAGTTTATGGAACCAAGTGACTATTTCGATGTCCCCACGTACAATATCCTACGCTTCATTCGAAGCGCAGGATTGTTGAGGGGATAATCAGAAGGGGAGGCACAATAGATCACTGTGGTCTCTGTGCAAGGGCCAAGAAGGCCCACCCCTTATACATTCATTCATTCATTCATCCACGATATGTATACAGTTGCTGTCATGTGCACTCAATTTCACCTGTTACTTCACGACATGTTTCAGCAACATAGTGCCATCATCAGGTGCCCTAATTACGCTAATCTATTTCATTGCTTGCCTTTATAAAATTATTTAAAAAGTGCGTATTTGTCAACTATAATAAATTTACACACACTGAAACTTGTTAAGATTATTCATCTTATATGTCATAATTAAAACTTGCGTGTGGTTCTTCCACTATGGGGGTCGTTTTTCTTATATTCTGTGTAAACCATGTCTTGTGATGTGTGTTCCCTTCTTAGCTGCGAGTGTCGTGAAGTAACAGGTGAAATTGAGTGCACTACAAGATGGCAACTGTATACATATCATGGATGAAAATCAGTGCAACAGGACGCTAAAATACAACATTATTCATTCATTCATTACATAACTACTATATATAGATACAAGTAGATACACAAGGCAAAAAATTGTATTTGTGAAAGATGTGCAAAAAGATCTTCTGAGTTTTAAAATACAGTGTGTTACCCATACAAGAACTGAAACTTTTCCTATCTCAGTTTATTGGAATTAACTTTATCCAAAATCATAGATTGTGGTTATTATTCCAAAAATGCCTTTAATGAACCCCAGTATCCCAGATCACCATGTGAAATTCAGAAGATGACCCGTCTCAGTAACAGTGACAAGTATATTGCTAGAGAAAATTAGTTTTTGTAACAGTATTTTTCTTCACTCCCTTGGCCCTTGCTCTCTTCCATTCTTTGTGCTCCTAGGGAAAGTGCTTGAAAGAAAAGGGGACAGATCTTCTTTCCAGGGGCTGCAGTTTATAGCATGCTTATTATGATTGTGTTTTTAATATCACAGGCATTAGTGATTCCAGCATTTGAGACACAGCGGTATCGCATCACATTTCCAAAGAGTAAAGCAGAACTTCTCAGTATGTTGGACATGGGAACACTTTTTACATTTCGGTACCATGTGTGGACTAAGGGTCATGCTCCCACTAATTATGGTAAATGGAGGACAGCTACAACCCCATACAAGGTGAGTCCTGGAACTAAGAGGTTATATTTGAAATATGAACATTCTTAATTGAAAGTCATTCAGAATGGGAATGGTGACAGTGATATATAATGTGTTATACCATGTTTGTTTAGATTCAGTGGGAACCAGATTTTGAGCCATACATTGTTGTGCGGAAAGATATTCCTGAATATGACACTCGATTTGTCGGTTTTGGATGGAATAAGGTGTCCCATATAATGGAACTGGAGGCTCAAGGATTTGAGTTTGTCGTCCTACCAAATGGTTTCATCGTTCACATGCCGCATGCTCCTAGCTTTGACATAGCAAAATTTAGGAGCTCATCACAGTATAGAAAGTAAGTCAGTGTGTGATCATGTCCATTTAATGGGTATAAAAATCATAACACTTAAATGTTTCTGTCATCTGTTCTGTTTGATATCTGTTATTAATATAACCCTAAAATAATATGAATGAATAAGTAACTTATAAAGGGAGGGTGGCTGAGAGTCTACCAGTCCAGCGAGGAAGATGGCCCTCATGTTAACAGTTCCTGTGCGTGACTGAAAGTGCAGCACAGTCAGCAAGCCCATAGGCCAACAAATTGTAAAGAAAACCTGCCCTTATCACAGCAGATGGTTGACATGGTGGTGTCTGTTACACACACACACACACACACAGTCCTTGCACTGCCGTAAATAGTTCACATGTAAGTAAAGGAAGTAAAAAGTAAAGGTATCCCTGTAACAGGCTGTGGAGGCCCATAGGGTTGTGAGATGTTGAGGTTCCCACATTTTCTAGACAGTTGGCTCATAGATGGCGACAAGGTTGTTGGCCCTTCCTCTGCAAGGGATTTTCAAGGGGAATGTTCAGGCATAGCGTCAGTTTCATCCGATTTCTCGTCAGTGAGCCCTTAACATTTATTTTTATTTGGTTCTTCAATTTTTTTCCTGATAACTACTGTCTGTATCAAAATTTACCTTCATTGTATGAACATCTTGTATTTGGAACTTTAACATTCTGAAGTTTATGCAAGAATCTTCTCCGTACTTTTCACATGGGCCTCATGCATGAACACTAGTGTCACTGTGTAACTTGCGTGTCATTTCAACACAGTGTTTCTTTCATACGGTAACATATGCTAGGGATTGTAGATGACAGGCACATAATACACAACTTTTTTTTAGTATGATCTAAAAGTTTGTGACAAAGGTGTGATACAGTTATTGATTTTTTGGACATTATTCATCTCTGGACATAGGGAGAAGCTCTACTGATTGGGCCCAACTGAATATGTTTTTTTTTATTTTAACTGAAGATGGAGACAGAAACCAGGCCCTGAAACATTGTGTATTAAATGGGAAACAGGATGATAGATAATGTCCAAAAACTCAATAATTGAAACTTTTTATAGTTTTATTTTTATGGGATAGGGTGAGACTCAGACCACTTAGTATGTCAGCCACTAATTGGCCTATTGTACCTACCAACCCCGGATTCTAGATGAGTATGGAGCAGTTGGTATAATGAGAGAATTGGCAGGGGAAACTGAAGTGCTTGTAGAAAACCTACCCCAGCACCACTTTGTGTACTACAAATTCCACATGACCTTACCTGGGATTGAACTTTGGCTGTCATGGTGGGAAAGCTGGCAACTAACTGCCTGAGCTATGTATGGCATGGCTGTACACAACCTTTCTTCATGGTATCTGTTCAAAGATTTATTGGCATGATGTCAGAGAAATTGCGATGTGTATATATAGGCTCTTGGCCTGTCAGCTGTGATTAAAAGTCTGAATGTGAGCAGTGTGAGATGACTTGAGTCAACCAGCAGCAGAATTTGTGTCAGGCTGCCAGGTGACCTCTTGGTAACAAACATTTTGCTACCATATTTACTCACATAATAATCCGTAGTTACTTTTAGACTAGAAGTATCAGGAAGTAAATTGTGTATTGTATTTTGCACTAGGATAGTGCAGTCAGTATGGGGACTTGCTATGGGCTGGACAGCAAAGGGGTTGGAGTTTGAACCTCAGTAGGGGCAACATTTTTTCTCCTATGCACATCATCGTCCAGACAGGTTCTGGGGCCCACTCAGCCTCCTATCCAATCAGTACTGCGGGCATATTCCATGGGGGGTAAAGCAGCTGGGGTCTAAAGCTGACCACAGGGATCTGTACATCCAGCCCACCCATACAGCTTTATGCCATAATGTTTAATTGATTAAGTACTGGGACAGCTTTGCCCTTTTTAACTATATTTTTGCCTTCAGCTGTTAATATGAAGTGTGCTGTGGCTATTCCACACTGAAATGATTTCTGTACAGTAAGTAAATCAAAGTTATATGCAATTTAAACTGAATCGTCTTTCTTGATTGCCCCTGCAATATTCTCATATTTTATATACCACAGTTCTCGGGGTAACGGAAGTGTAGAGTTCCCAGGTCAATATTAAAGGATTAAATATTAAAGAATGCCTTCATTACTAGATACAGAGCAATAAAGTTGTCATTTTTAAATTAATTTGGTGTGAAATTTCTGAGCATAGTATTTTGTTCTTTTGTTTATTAAGGTGCCTGAAGATACTGAAAAACGAATTTGTGAAGGACCTCAGCAAACGTTACAGTAAAGTGTTTGATATGGAAGTGTGATACAGTGCAGTACTACAACTAAACTTGTGAAAATGTTCACTAGTTGTGGAAGAAGCACTGGTTGCTTGATGAACAGTATTTGTGACAATAATTGTGGTAGCACTTGTACCTTCATATTTATTAATTTATTTGTCCTCTTTTACTCATGTTTAATTAACATGATATATGTAGATATTTTGATATTTTACTAGTGTAATATGTTTGTCTCAAACATACTTTATTGCAGAAATGTGTCCTATAGTTGAGTTCAATCATTCTTTTTATAACATTTTATTGTATTGCTTTTTGTATAACTTTTAATTTTTTAATGTCTTCAGTCATTCTCCATTATTTAGCAATAAACATCACATTTATTTTCTGAAATTTATATGAAAGATTGTAAGTTTTTATGAATCCATATTTGTGCTTGGGTTTCTTTGTGACTTTCGTCTCTCTGCAGATCCTGTGAGAATTATGCAGCTGAAGTCCAGTAGCTCTAAAAAGCAAAGGTTTGTGACTGTTAACTTCATTTATATGACATGATTATGTTGTAATTGATATGTTGATTCTTGTATCTTTACATAATTCATTACTGCTGTACTGACGACAGTTTTATTTTCTTTTTCTTTTCCTGCAGTTGTGACTTAACTTGAATCAGAGGCAAGCTGGAGATGCAGTGATTGTTTTGGGGGTTGATGATGTCAGTTGCAGCCAAACAGAACTGTTCGTACAGTCAAGTGAAGATGAGAGAAGGTGTGACTGTTGAAATATGTCTACACCAGAGAATGGAAAAAAGGCCAACATAATCATGTCACATGAATGGAATCCAATTTGTAGCCTTCGCACGTATAATGATAGAGTGTATAATGTTTCCTGTTGAGTAACTGGAAATGAATTTCTTGTAATCGCTGGTAACAATAGCACTGCCTGAGCTGATGTGTTTGGCTAAATTCTGTTCCAAAACATTGTCTCCTGCTAATAACTTTCCAAACGAAAACTGAGTGCTGGCAGACATTTCTGCTTCCAGCTCAAGTAAATTATAGACACAAATGGACAGTATATGATGCATTATTTATGTTTAATATAGTTAGCACCAGTTAAGGGAAATTCCATGTTTGAGGTGCATTAATATCATACACTTCATTGAAGTAACTGTGTGGGCAACTCTGTATTGCAGACTTTGCAACTTCAAAAGATGCATGTCTGCTGCCACAGATATCCGGATTTGGCAAACAAAGTCATTATGTGCCTAATTATTGCTTTGTTACTGTCAAACTTGTAGGTGGAACATCTACATAGGATGTCACCAGAAAGAGTTCCTAAGCAACTTTTATATTCTCGGTTGACAGAGATAATTCAGGATTTTCAAAGGGAAAATTGCTTGATATTTGAAGTTGGAACAGGCCAACAAGCTTATACCATGAATATATTTATGATTGTTTTGTTTAGTGTTAATTTAATATTGTGGCAAATAGACCCACTGCTAAGCATCGACTGCTAAATAAGCAACTATACAATAGTCGTTGCTAAGTAATGGTGCTGCAAACAAAGGCTGTTGCTAGGCAATGGCTGAGTAGTGATCACGTGGGCACTCCAACAGACATGAACGCAATGATTGCCTTGCAACAGAAGAGCAGTGTTTTCTACAAGGTCCATGCCAAAATGTTACAAGCAAACTAAGAGTGAGCTGAGTTACTTGTGTGGAGGCGGGGTCGAATACCTCCACCATGACCCTTCGAGTTGTAGGAGGTGACAAAAATGGAAGTCTCAAATTTGAGACAGTAAAATATAGTCACAAGTCCCAAGGGACTTTGACCCAAGAAGGACTGCGCTGGCAAGGAGCAGCAGTGTATACAGAAGACAGACCCGTCCTCTTGTCAGAAAGGGTGCCTGACAATAAAAAGATTGTAACTGTCAAGCAGTAATAAATATCTGGTCATGAGCCCCAGATGGGGCTTGACACCAAGACTTACTGACCATTAGTCGCAATGTAACATTGACTTTGATTTGAGTGAGTTCAGTTGGTTGGTGAGTGAGTGAGTTAAATAACTGCTGCTGTGGGAAGCCAGGGGGAGTTCAGGAACCCACACGAAGGGGAAAGTCCACTGTCAAGAGCTGCTACCAAGCAATGGCTAGTGAAGATTTAACAGACTGAGCAGACCTAGTGTGTCCTATAGTGATTTATGAAGTGTGTAGACCAGTGAGACCTAATTCTTTATTTGTAGTTATGAGTTGTAAGAGTTCAGTAAATCCGATTACCAATCCAAACCCTGTCCATAGTCACTAAATTAAGTTACAGTATTATAATCAGCCACATTTGGATATGGAGTAGACTCTTGTAAGTGTTCCAATTGCCATAACTTCTTTCACATTTATGTGTAACCCCAGTGTAATTTTCTGTCAAACATTACATCACAGTGATTTAAATTTCTTATGCATTCTATCAAAATCCTTTTCAAGATTCAAGAATACCACAATCATGGACATATTGTTAGTGAAATTTAAGGTTGTATGGTCCACAAACCTCATATAGAACCCAAACTGACTTGCAAGTATAAGGTCCCTTTTTCAGTGTGCCATGCACAATCTATAGATTAACCATGTGGAATACTTTCCTTACTGCATATAGGAAGGTTACTAGAAGAAAATTTTGAGGAAATTTTTAATACTTTTGGAGTTATGGGAGGTTAGCTTCCTTCATAGGTGGTGCAAAAAGTGATAATGAAAACTGGTGATTCAGAAATATGTTGGATGAACCTTAACGTTTCCTGAGGCATTCATTGGGAACAACATAATTATGCAGAACTTCCATACTTTCAATAATTGTATTAATTTTTGTATGTCACAAGGTCTTAAATTTTAAATGGATGTTGTTTAAAATTTCGAGCAGGAATTGAGCTATAGCTTCCACCTGCAATTCATGGAATTTGTTACACAGGTCATAGGGTGTGAACTAGTTTTCTAACAGCTGTTTTGATGGTCTTCTCTGTCGGTATTTAGGGCCTAAAGGCACATGGAGAGGGGTTGGTGTCTTTGGTACACCCCTGTTGAGGAATGTCAAAACAGGCGATGTATCCCTGTGGATTAAATTGCAAGTCTCACTCATTCACTCATGGAGCTGAACCATTCTTGAGAAGCTGCCAATTATGCAGGGACTCAAGAGCTTCCCAGCATTTTATGGAACCGAAAAGTTCATTACCTGTCCTAAGCCAGATCAATTCAATCCATACCTTCCCATCCTATTTCTATAAGATACATTTTAATATTGTCCGCCTACCTACACCCTGGTCTTCCCAGTGGTCTCTTTCCCACCAATATCCTATACACATCTCCCCCATTTGTGCTACATGCGTTGCCCACCTCATCTTCCTTGACTTGTAATTATACTTGGAGAACAGTACAAGTTATGAAGCTCCTCATTATGCAGTTTCCTCCAATCTCCTGTCACTTCATCTCTCTTTGGTCATAATATTCTCAAACAGCCTCAGTCTATGTTCCTTCCTTAGTGTCAGAGACCAAGTTTCACACCCGTACAATACCACAGGCAAAATTATAGTTTTGTATATTCTAATTTTTGTGTTTTTGGAAAGCAGAGGAGAAGACAAAAGGTTCTGGACTGAATTGTAGCAAGCATTACCCTTGTTCATTCTCCTCTTAATTTCCTCTTGAATCATGTTTTGATTTGTTACTTCAGTTTCCAAATATCTGAACTGTGCCACATTTTCAAAACATCTGTTTCCTGTCTTTATGTCATGATTTTGCCCTGCATTTTGGTGACGAGATAGCAACATATACTTAGTTTTCTCCTGTGTTTACTTCCAGACCAGGCTCCTTACTAGCGTCAATTAAAGTCTGTGTTTTTCTTTATGGTATCTATATTATCACCCAGTAGATTCACATCTTCCACATAGACCAACAGCTGCTGTGTCCCTTTAATTTCTGGCCCACCTGGTTTTCCTGTACCTTCCTAATGGCATATTCTAAAGCAAAGTTGAAAAGCAGTGGCGATAAAGCATCTCCTTCTTTTAGACCATTCTGGATAGGAAAATTATCAGACTGTTCACCTATATGGACTTTTACCATACGTTTCATTTAAACACATTTTAATCAGCTTAACTAGTTTTATGGGTATCCCAAACTCTATCAGAATATTGTATTATACTTCTCTCCTAACTGAATCATAGGCTTTCTTGAAGTCTACAAATAGCTGATATACTGTCTCATTATACTCCCATTTTTTCTCAAATATCTGATGAATGCAAAAGATCTGATCGGTAGTTGATCCGTTATGTAGAAACCCACACCGATGATCCCCTAATTTCATCTATGTATGGACTTAACCTTGAGGGAAGAATATTGGATAAAATTTTGTAAGTTGATAGCAGTGATATTTCCCGACAATTAAAGTCATTAATTCCTCTATACAAGCAAGATTAGAGGTTCTAACAACAGTGATAATGAAAATCTCCTCACAGAATGTTACACCGTGTAATCTGTTAAGACCATTGTCGAAGTTTTGAAGGCACGGCTTCTACCCTGAATACGGAGGCCATACGTTGCTCTGGTATGTCGGCAACTAACTTGCAGACTACATGGTGTCACATCCTAAAAAGAAGTGATCTACAAAATGTTTAGTGTAATTTTCTGGGAAAAGTTTAGTGGATACAACATTCATACCGAGGTGTGTGCTCGCTAGGTCAGTGGTTCTCAACCTTCTGGTGTTGGTGGCATGCCTGGGATAACATAATTATTTTCTTTACTTCGGAATGGAATTAGAATAGATAACTAGAATGTGTCTTCCTTTTTAAAATTCTTGTTTATTATATAATAACGTGAAATGATTGTAAACCCGAAGGATTATGAGGTTCTGTTGTTAGCACCAATTTAAGAAGTTTATGCAAATTCATATTTATTTTATACACTTGTTTTTCTCTTCTCGCGATGCACTTGGCCAAAACTCTGAGAACACCGATTGAGTACCACTGAATTAGGTGATGGGAACCGTGAAATCTTCCATCCATCATTCTTTCTGTATGTGTTGGGTGTTTTGCACAAATAATGACCCGTGAGCTTGAAATGGCGATCTTGTTAATGTGACAGTTACCAGGAGGTTCAAGAAGCGCAAAGTAAGGATTCCATATAAGAGGGAGCATTCTTGAAAAATTTTCAAGAAAACTAGGGGTGAATGGAGTATTGGTACACAGTGGGTAATGGCACCCATGTCTATTTTTAAAGTTCCAAGAAGTCATAAACACCTGTACAACACACTATAATGTAGCAGAAACTTCCAAAATTAATTGTTAGTTGGACTTGTAAGGAACTGCGATCTTTCTATGGCCAGTTTTGTGTGCTTGCTATTCGTGTTGCAAATATGACCCGAAATAATACCTTCCATAAGTCAAAAGGTTCCCTTGACTACTAATTCCTTAATTTACCAGTTCTGTTTTTGCATACACATGTAGAAGTCGAATTCAGTTAATGGTGTTATGAGAGGTAACCGTAATCTGCAGATACTGCAATAAATTTCAGTTGCATGACGTGAATCATGCGAGACGTTTTTGAAAAACAAATTGACGTTAAACTTGTTGCAGACCTAAAACAAATTATTGATTTGCTGCATTACATATTCTAACGCATATTTTGGGTTTTTGTAACATATACTGCTTCATACTCATTAGAAAATTTAAACTATAGCTACGAGTATATACTGGTTTCAGTTCCTTGTAAATTATTACTTTTTATGTTCTTATGCCGCGCGCTTTTGAAATCTGTAGTTTGTTTCAACTTCCATAGCTACAGCAAGATGTCGGCTGCACAGCTACAGTTGTAGTAACCTCGACCCTAATTTGCGAGTGATCTGAATTATTGTGCTAATAACGTTAAACATTGTGACACCTTTACAGATAACGCAATTATCTGTACTCCGTTACAAACGTTATAAAGAACGATAAAGAACACGAACTTCATTTCCATGATATCATAAATCGATCATAACTATTGTCAGCAGTTTCGATAGTTTCGACTTTCTTAATTTCAATCTATCGATACACTAGATAAATTTATGCAACTGTTCATCATATCACACGTAAACAAAAATATTATTTGATATTTACGTTAGAAATGTTGTGTTAATTTGCTGATAATTTGAACATTTTGTTGAAGATACGTGTCACTGTTTTACTGTGTCCTGTATTATGTGACATGGAATGGCAGAAGTACACTTACTTGGTCAAATAATTGGAGCAAGTAAATTCCCTAATCAGAGCTTATTTTGCAAATGGGGAATACATGCAGGTATAGAATACATGTTCATTGATGAAATATGAAAACAATTCGCATATATTTACAATGCAGTGGCAGTCGCGTTGATTGGCTTAGAACTGTATGTGTTTGAGCAAGTAACCTTAAATCTCCAATTCAGTAACAGTTTAGAGGAACTGAGTTGGTTGGAATAATTAGGTTTATATATAGTAACTATAAACATTCCACAAATTCAGTAACAGCTATTCAAGGACCATACTGTAGAAATATTTCAGTGCTTTTCATTATATACAGTGTGACTTTGCCATGACGAACAAATTTCCACCAATATTCAGTGCTCATCTGTCACTTCCCATAAGGCATGTTGTAAGATAACCTGACCAGCAAGTCTGTTAGAACAACCTCTGTCGTTATATTGGCCTTAATTTTGGACCCAGCATTTGTCTGATTTCAGAATGAAGGTATTAGATGTTTTAGACATTATGTAAATTAAATAAATGGTATCACTGTACAGTGAAAGATGCAACATGTTATGCCAGCCTTAAAAGGGAACCCAAAAGCAAATGTCAGATAATTTTAATGTTGATGGATGTGTTTGTAAATAAGTGTACTTTATGTATGTCACAGATTTTTAACTAGGAATTTTAAATATTTTGCAGGCTGTAGAAAAGATTTTCAATGTAACATTTACAAAAGTAGAAGGCAGAGAACAAGATTTTCGTTCATTGACTGACAGTGACATGTAGTATACTAGGCTCTTAAAATGAAGTATTACTTTGTCTCTTATCCATATGAGTTGACAGTGCCATGATTTAATGAAGTCAAAAAAAAACTTTATAAAAATACACTGACAACTGTGAGTTTCAGTTTCAGCATTTAACAATTATCTGTTTAGTATATGAATAAAGAAAAGTACAAAGATATTGCACATACTTTCTCATATACATTCAGACTTGTAATGCACATACTGTTACCAGGATATGGAATAGATTCATTTGGCCAAGAACAGGGTCCAGTGGCAGGAACATGTGAACATAGTAATACCATCTTTGAGTTACATAATATTGGAAATTGTTTTGACTAGCAAAACAAGTGTTTAGCTTCTCAAGGTGTCTGCTCAACTGTGCTAGTGACTTGTTCCTAATCCTGCCAGCTGCACTGTGGCTCTGGGGTCAACTTGGCCTCTAGCAGAAATGAGTACCAGGAATTTTTCCAGGGCATAAAGGGTGGCCAGCATGTAAGGCTGACATCCTTACAGCCACCTGTGAGCCAATTGTCTAGAAAATATGGGAGCCTCAATATCCTCACAACGCAGTGGGCCTCTACCACCTGTTAAGGTATAGCTTTACAATGTTTTTTATAGCTATAAGGTTAATACTCTATATAATTACTTTCTTGAAGCACAGGTGGTGGCTGGAAAGTGATATCTGGTTTGAAGGAAGGTCAAACACAAGTTGATGATCCTGCATATGGCAGCGTTACGTACTGGTGTCATCCAATAGACATTCATTTTGCAACAAAAGGCATTCAAGGTATGATGATGCCTATACCTAAGTTATCACTTCTAATATATATATATGTACACACATGCACACATACACAAAACCCCGTGCGGGGGGGGGGGAGAGACCCCTGATTATCTTACCTTTGGTTATCCAACATTCCATGCTATGTTTTCAGTTTTCCTGCATGTAAACTACTCCCATTCCTCTAACAGACCTAATAAAGACCACCTAAATACAGGGTGTTTCACGACTTTAGGGCATAACTGCAGGAGGTGATTTCCTAGGTCTCTGTGATCAAAAAAGTTCATATAAACATGTGTCCAATTTTGGACGGTTACGGAGTTATAACCGTTTTCAACTCAGAATAGAAGGTAACGATTACTCACAATAAACGGAACAAAATAATAAACCAGCATAATACCTGACACATTTAAAGAATGAATGTAAAGTTAATTTCGTGAAATTACCTTCAATTTTAATTTATTGGTGCTTAAAGCTGATTTTCGAAAATGCCACCGCCAGCCGCAACACAAGCTGCCGCTTGGTTGTGAACTGCGCCGGACATACCAACCCACCATGCCTTAGGAACCTCTCAAGTGTCGAGATAATGAGAACGCTCTGTCTGTAGCTGGCTAAAAATAGCAACCTGCTAGAAGATAGATGCGGTTCACACGAGGGTGTGTACGGGAATGAAAAAACGGTCATAACTCTGTAACCATCCAAAATCGGACACATGTTTATATGAACTTTTTTGATCACAAAGACCTAGGAAATCACCTCCTGCAGTTATGCCCTAAAGTCGTGAAACACCCTGTATATTATGCAGGTACCTGCATGTTAGTGGGTGACATAAGTAACTTTTAAATTTACTGCCATGTTTGCCACATTAGTGCTGCCGACCATAATTTATTTGTAAAAAGGAAAACCAAAGCACAACCTTAGAAGGTTTTTTGATGTGTATTTTTAAGGGCTGAACCACAAACCTAAACTTTTAAAAATGGAACCAAAGGCTTAATCTTTTAAGAGAAAAAACAGAAAGCCTAACCTTGTGAGGGAAACTCTAAGTTTAGGTTTTGTGTCTTGGTTTTGTAAACGAGCCTTTAAAGTTTGCATCACTAATGTGACAGGCAACAACACATGGCGGTAAATTTTGAAGTTACTGTCATCGCCCATTAATACATAAGTGCCATGATGAAATTTCTTTTGTACTCTTGCCAATATGTACAGTAGTCATGACTGTTAAAATGATGTGCAAATGTGGCAGTAGAGTTTTTGCATGTGATTCAAATTCTCATTCCCAATCTCTTTTTAGTGATATAAATAAACATTCAATTCTTAATCTGAGTATTATTTCTTCTTTAAAAATCTGGCTACTGTATACTGTGATAATGACAAGGAAAGCAACTGTATCCTTGGTGAGGAAACAGGTGCTTCTGGTTGCCAGTATATAAAGGTGATCAAATATCATAGTGTTTTTACAAAATATCCTGTGTTACTTCACAGGTTGGCCCAAGATTCATCTTCAGGTGTACCACCAGGATCAGTTTGGTCGAAATGAGATATATGGTTATGGTTTCTGTCATGTACCAACTGCTCCAGGGTGCCATAGTTTTGAATGTCTCACTTGGCGGCCTGTTGGTTTGTGTTCACCTTGAAATTCATTTAGTTAGAAATTCATAGTGTTTTTACAAAATATCCTGTGTTACTTCACAGGTTGGCCCAAGATTCATCTTCAGGTGTACCACCAGGATCAGTTTGGTCGAAATGAGATATATGGTTATGGTTTCTGTCATGTACCAACTGCTCCAGGGTGCCATAGTTTTGAATGTCTCACTTGGCGGCCTGTTGGTTTGTGTTCACCTTGAAATTCATTTAGTCTACTATATTATATTTAAGCATCCTGTTGCACTATACACTTCTATATATAATAATACAAATGCTCTCGTGAATGCAACAATTTATTTTGGTTGTAGGTCTTTGTCTTTTCTTCCTCTACACTACATGTTTCGGCCGTAACTGGCCATCATCAGGTGTATTTTTCACTACGTAGCTGTCAGACTGCACACAATCCAAAATCTAAAACACCAACCTGTCAGTTTTGTTTAAACTCTCGCCAACATACGCTCGTCAATTTGATTTTAGAATTCTGGTTTAAAATTTAAAATTCGAAAATTTAAAGTTTTAAATCACAGGGATACCTGCTCTGTGTGTACATGTGCTGCAGCAGCCATTTCCGTTCATGTATTATTATGTGCAGGCTCCCTGTGTGTGTGTGTGTCACTGCTCATCTTTAATACTTCTGCAAAAGTATTAAAGATGAGCAGCAACATATAGAAATCATTTAGTTTAACTTTTAGGAACAAAAAAAGGGAAAATTTAAATCTGGGATTATTTTCGAAGAAATAATAACAGTAAAACTGCTGAGACGTATATGGAGCTATAAATGAGATAATTTTGACAGCCTAACTCATGTCATGTCATGTGTGCTCCAGCCAGCCACTTCGCAATGTGTCCAGTACCATTGAACTGTCATGCAACCCCCATGCCAGTTTGTGTTTACATGTTAAGTTCTCATCTTATAGCCAGGGATGTAAAGTAAGTAAATACAGGTATCCCTGTAACCGGCCGTGGAGGCCCATAGGGTTGTGAGATGTTGAGGTTCCCACATTTTCTAGACAATCGGCTCATAGATGGCAGTAAGGTTGTTAGTCTTACACACCGACAGCACTTTACCCCCAAGAACATTCCAAGAATATTCCTGGTACTCATTTCTGTTAGAGACTGAGTTGACCCCAGGGCCATGGTGTGGCTAGAAGGATTATGTAAATTGAAAAAAATCCAGTGACCTCATCAGGATTCAATCCCGCAACCTTCCGGCTTGTAGCATAGTGCCTCAACCAACTATGCTACCGCGTTCCCCCAGGGGTGTACTCCTTAAAAATGAAGGTACAGTATGGTCACCATGCAAGTTCCCAGGTACAAAAAAGAGTGGGTAAAAATCGCATACCTGATGATAGTTTTGCACTTTAAATGCAGAGTTGAATGACAGACAGCTCACAAAATGTACCCACTTACAGAGGCTAACACTGTAACCTCAGAAGTTGGAAAGTAATCAGGCTATAAAAACTTAGTGTACCACATAAGGGCACCACCCTGGACTCTCCTGGCTCAAATACAGCTCTGCTTGTGGCATGTGTAATAGTATATGATGGTTTGATTGCTTTGTGTGGAGAAACATGGTCTCGTGGTCAGAAAAATGAAGCACCTTTTGTCTCATTAAAACTTTTTTCAACAATGGAAACATTGTTGTTTGTCATGTTGCCTAGCACCAAACTGGTTGTAACAGTAATGCACTGGACTCATTTCAAAAGATGCAGTTCATATCTTGACTGGGACATCAAGTGTCGTGACAGATTTTCTTGATCTTCGTTCCCTCCAGGCAAATTCCAGGATTGCACCATGATCAGATTGTGACTGCTTCTTCCCGGATAATTTCAAACTCATCTGTCATCCTATCACTTGATGCTGTTTAGTCTAGATAAACCCACAGTATGCTTATAGTTTAATATCACACCCTGAAGAGGGATGCGGTAGTGAAGATGCAACTCTGTATATTCATTACCTCAGCACCAGACAGGTGTATGATTAGCATCATGCTCTGTTTTACCCCTGCAGAAATAACCCTAGAGTCCCCATTGGATAGGAGGCCGAAGATTGGTCCCAGAGCTGGTCTACATGCCTTGAAGATGAGAAAAAATTCTTGCCTCTGCTGGGAATCAAACAATGATCGCCTGGTCATCCAACCCATTGCCTGCTCACTATACTAACTTAATTATGCAACCCCCAACGCAGAAAATAAAAAAAGAAATGGTTTAGTTTTGATTGAAATGTTATTTATATAATTAAAAATTAACAATTTAGTTTACATAATTGAAAGTCTTATGTCCTCAAACTATTATATTTTAATTCTTTACTATAGTTTAAGTATGTATATAAGAGTTGTGGATTTAATTCTATGTGTTGGTGAAATATATAAACGTTTAAATATAAGTATGGACTTAGTTGATATGTTGTTTACACAGATGGCCATAACTGTATTTTGGAACGCTTTCAGTCCCATACTATCATGATTTCTATGAACACATATTCAGTTTAGCGCAGTTTTTAAAATATGGATAGTCTCTTGGTAACATGACTGGTTTTTCGATTTAACGTAATTTATCCATGACTTTCCATTACATTGCCTTATTTCTTATTGGAAATTCTTGTATATCACAATTTCATCTTAGGCTACACGAGCGCACGAAGTACGTCCGTTGCAATGAACGTACTTTATGACGGACATTGCTGAGGACACCACACAGTTGCAGAACGTGGTGTGTAGTTTTTTGTCTGCAATGGAGCCAGAAGAAAGCAAAACATTCACGTCACTTGTTTATTTCTACAATGGACGTAACGATGTTCATTACAATGGACGCATTTTGTGTGCTCGTGTGGCCCCAGCCTTACAGAAAATGTTTCAAGAAAGCAGGGACTGAGTATACTTACTTTTCATCAGGTCATTAAGCACATGAATGTTGCAGGTACTGTGCGAGATCAGTTTGTCCAGTACTTCCTTGGTGGTGGGCCCCAGCTTAAGAATCCAGATTTAATTTACTCTGGCAATGATCGCTATCGCTTACAAACAGAAACAATGGGCGTGGTGCACTTGGAAATAGGTGTCATCCTACGTAATTTTGATAAATATGGAGTTGAATGCTGACTCTGTTTAATGGCATCTTTAAATGAAGAATTTTATTCTTAAAGATTAATTTTGTAGCTGTAATGTTGGGTAAATTGACGTTTTTATTTGTGTTTATGTATATGCACAGAGTGAAACAGTCTGAGGAATAAAGTTTGACTAAAGTGAATATTGTCTTGCACTAGTAAAGCGACATAATGCAGAACAAATGTATGAATTGGATGCAGCAGATGTGACATTGTCTGCAGAAATAATAACAAATGACTGTGGAAAGTACGTGCACATTTTACTGAAATAGTCAGTTTAGGAAATGAGATGGAGTCAGAATTACCAGTAACAGTGTCTACAGCAAAAGCAGAGATGTGAACAGCAGGGCATCCAGAGTCTGAAACAGAAACAGCTCCTGCAGCAATTGGAATTGTAGTGGGAGCATGACCAATCTTGAATGAAAACTGCACATGTGATTTAAATGTAGATGTATTCAGCACATTGTTGTACATATTTCATGTTAACTCCCTTTGAGAAAACCTGGTCTTAGGTATTTATGTGGCTATAGTTGCGCTGAAATAGGTTTTTAGTGACTGAGGTTATCGCTGTCTAAGGGACCTAAGAGAGTAGGTGTCTCCTTCCTCACCTGAGGAGAGAAATAGATCAAACTTCTGAAATGTGTTCTCTTGTTTTTTAGAATACTGGAGGATGAACAAAATGCATGAATCTGTGCCTCTAGTTCTTCATGTGTTCATAACATGGTGATTAATTAAGCGTGGGAATGACTCTACTTTTACTGTGTTAGAAGGCAGGAGTCCATTTTATTTTACTATGTTCTGTGCCAGAATGCCATGTTAGGTGTGTCCCTTGTCACTGTGTCATGGCGTGTCCTCAGGTTGCGGATGGAGGAGACAACCTCTAGATATGGAGGGCAGCTGTCAACATGACAGCATTATTGTCTGCGACAGTGCACATTCTAGGGATAGATTCAGTAAAATTATTTTTGTTGTGAAGTATCACTTCATGAAGTGAACATGGAATTAATTTTTTTTTAATTTACTTAGTGGGGTGTTTAGTCCAACTAGGTCCACTCGGCACAGCGGCCACTGCTTGGCCTATTGTACCTGACAGTGAACATGGAAAGTGTGCTGTGTTGGATATCTGTGTTGCTATGTTGAGATGCCCTGCTGTTAATGCAGCAACGGCTCGGTTTCTCTTTTATATGAGTCAGTGAATGAAAACTCTTTAAACTTTCCTTTCATCCCACAATCTTCCATGATCAGTTTCTTGGCAAATGTATCTTCTGTTCATGGTATCTTCCAGTACCTGGGAAAATATCAGCTTCATTTTTTTACCATTTATTTAACAGTGCTGTCAGTATCTCAAACTGATAACATAAAATGATAAAGTGATTAGTGAGCAGTGAATTGGAAAGGATATGAAAGGAAACGTTCATAGCCTAATCAAGATATTATCCAACATTTGCTTGGATAGACTGAGGTAAATCATGAAGGAAAATGCTCAGGATAGTTGCTGCCTCAGCTCAGATGAGCCAGGTATCTCTAATAGAAATGAGAAACACTGCTGCTTGAACCAACTTGCTAGGCATGGCTAAACCATTTTGTTCTGAGTTGTAACGTAAGTCTCTCATTTAAATTATAATTCTAATGCCCTTATCGGTATAATTTTTCTGATTTTTTGGGGGGGGCTTGGCCAAACCATTGTAAACGTTTGTCTCTTTGACCTCTGATAACAAATTCCAGTTTCATTTCTAATACTATCCTTTGTCTTTACCTCAGTAGTTCTTAAAAATGTAATAGCCATTGCTTAAAATTTGTCATTGTTTCTCTTTGTGCAGGTAAATGATTCAGTGTTATATGTCAGTAGTGGTGTAAAACATCCTCTATAGTTTGTTTCCCTTTTTGGGGGGGGAGAAATAATCTGTTCCATAATATTCCTTTTATAATTTCTATGGAAGAGTGAAATGTTTTGATATTAACTTTGGGAAAACATTCTTTTACAAGGGGGGCACACACTGAACTGTCATAATTCAGCCCCTGACTTTGGATCCTATATACATCCTGTATGATTATTTTGGAAGTAGACCTAAAACTTAGAGCCAGATCATAAATCACACAGTTATCTTAGGTGTATCATTGTTGGGTTAGTGTAATTTATTATACAACCCTACAAGCTTGCTGGGGCACCTCCAATGGTGCTCAATAATATCTTCATATAGTGATCAACATCAATACTTCTAACAATCACAACGTTAGAAGTGCTTTCTTCACGTCCTTTGTAGTCCACAAATACAGCCCCTCGACTGATAGCTCCATCTTCAGCGATGTGTGCACGAAAAGTTGCGGACTCTTTGATGATGGACGGATCTACAATGGCTGCAGCAGCTAGGCAATCAGCACACTCCCAGTACAGAGTGTCTTCTTCCAGTTGCTGTTGTTCAGCTTTATTAAGTAGCTGTACTTCTGGGCTTGACAGAATTCCAAGGACATTCTTACGCCACTCCTGAAAAAAGTAATGTTCTCCTTTAACTACAATGTAGAGATATGGAAAGTGTTAGTGTTTTTTTTTTATGGTTAGATTACAGATAAGTATATTGGATAAGAGGAATGAATTCAGTGACATCTGTGTTTAGAATGACAATTTAATTCTTAGAAGCCTGAAATTTCTTTAAATACACATACCATTTCAAAATTCAGTTCCTACCATATGCGAGACACACCACTTCTCTGTTACAAAGGCCAGCCAGTTAGTCCTGTTTTGATAGATTTTGAAACATTACTGATATAAACTGTGGGCTTGCTGGTCATATCACAGTTTCACAGAAGCCCCATCAGCCATTATTGTATCATGGTTTCTGTTGTGCCTTGTCAGATTCCATGATGGTACTGTGCATCACCCCAACAGGTAGCCCCCTACTTGACAAAAGGGAAATTGGAGAGAAACGAATTCAGTGGAACGTTGTTATAAAGGAGTATGGACAGGGTGGTGACTATGAGGATTTCAGGGGAACATACGCTTAAATTTATCATTAAAGAGGAGGATAAATTTGTTTATGTGGGGATTTAAATATATACAAAAGGGAAAATTGATGTAGAGGTCAGCAGAAAAATACATATTAGTTCTAATATTTATAAAATTATAAAAGGAATATTATGGAACACAGAAATCCACAAATAATGCAAAAGAGCAATGTCCGAAGTACGAGTATATTCTAAACCAGTACTAATATATAATACTGTAACATGGAACTTTACAAAGACAAAACCAAATTCCATGTAATGTATGTGAAGTTTTTGAAAAGTAATGGAGGAACAACAAATTATATAATTAGAAATGGACTTCTTAGAGATAGATTTGGGGTTTGGCATTTTTTTAGTAGTCAGGAGAGAAATGATTATAGTGCTTTGGCCATGTACAGAGGCTTGAAGGAACGAGGATACTGAGAAGGCTATTAGAATAAAAGTTTAAAGAAAAGATACCTGCTCGATGCTCCACAATATGATGCTTCAGACAGGTACTTGAAAATATCAAGAAGAGGGAATCGAGTTGCCAAGAGGTCAAAAATGAAATATCGTGGGAAGAAGGATGAGACTGGAGTCTTTTCATCTGCTGACCACTGCAGAATATAAACATTGCCAGGAGAAGGGAAGTTAATGCTGTTTAGGGAAATAGTCACTGTTTCTTGTGAGAATCATGCAAAATAACTAAATACACAGTGTGGGTGAAATTAAGATATTTTGATGTAAAATCAAATGGTATAATAATTAGTCTTCTGCTTTGACATGTTAATTTGTGCTTATGCATGTATGTACATTAGGTGCAAAGTGATATATTGGATAAATGACAGAACAGGATACAAGAAACAGTGTTTTTATATATCAATGAAGGGTGGTAATCCTGCTCATAAGGGTAACAGCAGTGAATCAGAGAATCAGATAGAGTGCTCGGTGTAACCAAAATTGTATTTAAGATGTGCAGGCTGAAAGTTCTTGTACACGCTGACTTATTTGTTAATTTTATACTTGGTCTCCATGAATTTCGTACCTCATGTTTGTTCTCTCTGAAATAATTTTTTAAATGTTCCCATGTCCTCTTTGTTCACATGGTGCATTAGATAGTTTGTTCCACCTGCATTTTTCTTTCTATTTGGTGCTGTAACTGTTTCCTTCACATTATATACTGCATTGTATGAACCGTGCTATAACTCAGGTGGGTAGTCACTGGATATTCGCTGCAGAGGCCTGAGTTCAGTCCAAGAGCAGTCAATGTGGGATTTGTGATAGGCCAGGACAGCTTTCCTTCAAATATTCCAGTTTCCCCAGCTGATTAACATTCCACCAATGCTGCAACCTCTGTATTTACTATCAGCAGCCGGTACCATTGGCCATACCTTTAGACCTGGCCTCTTGGTTTAACTGTGGGTAGAAGTATGGCAATACGTAGCGTAGTAATGCATTCGGTTTTGTTGTGGGAAGGATGATGATGCACTGTAACTAAGTCTACAGTCCTTTTGTCAGTGGATCTGTCCAAATCCACTGTGCATCCCGTTTAAAACAGCCATGTCTTAAAACACAGATGGTATGAAGAGACTCGCTGACACCCCACCACAAGAATATAAGGTTAAAAACACATTGCCTCTTTCAATGAAAGAATTATCTNCCCCACCAAAAAAAAAAGAGATAAAAAAATATTCCCCTTTTTTTGAAAAAATTTTTTTTTTTTTTTTTTTTTTTTTTTTTTTTTTTTTTTTTTTTTTTTTTTACAATTTTCTTATAGTTCTTCCCATCCTCCTATATCACTTCCAGGAATCTTTCAGTCATGGCTACCATGAATATTGGTGAAAGCGTCAAGAAAGTTTCATGTCTCCGCATTTGGCCTGCAGTGGGGAACAGGAAGAAGGCAGGAAAGTTACATATTTCTTTCTAATTTCCGTCTGTCTACAAGCAAATGCTGAGTTGGTTCTCAAGTTCGAAGTTGCTATTGCATGCTTCTCATTCCTGTCCCCCCTCTCCCAAATTTAAATTTATCAAAATTAAACAAATTGGTATGGAGGTTCCCAAATTATCTGTTCAAATTATTGACCTTTCAGTTAGCCATAAACTACACGTACGAGTATATCTTTGCAGCCTGTGTCTGAGGTGAATCAAGAAATCTGTTGTATATACTCAGGCTAGTGAGCACTTCTAAGGACCTGGATAACTTGAATGCTCAATTTTGATATACCAAGTTAGAGGCTTAATATGTACCCTGAATTCTTTTTCCCTTACATTACTCTGCAAGTATGCATGAAGCAACAGCAGTGGCTGCCTATGGCCATCTGAACTGGTGGGGCCAAGAATGAATTCAATTTCTACACCAACCCACTCCATGCTTATAATTGAGGGAAGATTAGAAATTGGTGTTATCAATTAAATGCTCACATTTTAAGGCTTTATTTCGTCTATTACATATTAATCCCACCTCATTTAAGCTATTATAGGCTCTTTGCTGTTCTCAAGGGTTGTGCCCCCAATAAACTTTGGCTGAACACGTTCACCCTCATGGTAGAAATACAGTGGCCCCTAGAGTTGGGGTGGTGGATACGAACCCCCCTAGGTTGATGTGTGCCTTCTAGTTCACACGAGTAGGACGGACTGGAGGTGGTTCAGCAGAGTTTGGTACGATCCTAAGAATGCGCTGTTTCTGTCATGGTCAGGCTGCGTACTGTGTTACGTGTAGACTCTTTAATAATCATGGCAACAAAGATTAATTTAACATTGAATCACTTCGAAATTCTCTTTAAATTCAGTTCAACTTCTTTTCACATATGGTAGTTCTTTAGGCCAGCACTAAAATCGTATTACTTTCTGCTGCTGTAATATCGCCCCTGAAATAATTATTAACTCTACACATCAAGCTGTATTCACATTACAGACTTGTCAGTTGAAGTAAATACACACTCATCCACACATTTGCCTCATAATCCCACACAAGGAACCTACAACGTTAGCACCTTATTCCTCTCGGTGTAGCTGAGTGTCTGCAGTGGAAGGGAGAAAAACTGATATTCAGGGATGTGGGAAGAACAAAAATACATACGAAATTATACTGTGACATGATGCCCGGAAGCCGGAAGAAAGAAGTCAGACTAGACGTTTATTGCTAGGCAACGACTCTGTAAACACATTGGCGTGGCAACGAATATGCAAGCAACAATTGAATAACTTCTGTTGCTATTGAACGGCTCTGTAAACACGCCTTCCAGCAATAGAGAGGCAGTTTTTTCTTCATGGTCCGTTTCCCTTTTTAAGAATAAACATTGTAAAATGAAGTGCATTCCAAGGTTTTTTTTCTTCACCGTGTAATTAGTTTGATGAACCCAACTATTCCCAACTATTTACAAGTGCCCGCTTCCGGAATTACTGTCCCATAACAACTCAAGCTCTCGGGAAACAAGGCGCCTTACTTTAGCTGGACTAATTATCATCGCATTTTCAACCAGTCTGTTCAGATCTATCTGCAACTTTTCCATATCTTCACTAGTTGTAATTTTCCTATATACTATACAGTCGTCTGCGAAAAGTCTAATAGTTAACTCAATATTTCTCCAAATATCATTTACATACGCGAGGAACAATAGATGACCCAGTATTCCTGACGTTACTGTCTGCTTCCAAACTTGAATGTAAGCCATTTAAGAATACTTTACTGATTGCCTTGGTGTAATCAGAATAGAATAAATGGAATACAGAGTTAAATTTTGAAATATCTGGTACATTTCCTTCTATTTTTCAATTTTGGCTTTTTCTTTTCAAATATCCAGGGGTTGGACTTTCCCTGGCTTGGCCCCCCCAACCCCATAGATGACCATGCTTGTACCCTTCTTAAGTTTATTAATGTCCCTGTCAGTAGCTCAAACTATATATATATATACGATTTGAAGAGAAATGATTGGAAGTTGCCATGGTTTAATGGGGGTGATATACCGCGTTTCTTTCTAGAGTGACAGGAAAATCCATGGAAAACCTCAGTCATAATAGCCGGTTTCGCCAAAATGCTCTCCAATTGACCACGTGACGACCATTATCTGAGTTCGCCTGAGCAGTGCGAATCAATAACTTTTTGTGTGTTCACATAGCAATACAAAGGTTAATGAGATGAGATACTGGACTATCATAATCTGTTCCATGAGATAATGTCAATCATCGAAATGAGGTATGAGATGGCGTTTCTTTCTGAGGAAACAAAGCTTACAATTCTTTGATGCTCTGACTCCGTGTAATTTTACAGAAGGGTACAAATTTCTCGAAAGAACCTGCTTTCTCCAACTTTAGCCTATATATTGTCCTTTGCCTTGAAGATGGAGTTTCCAATTTTCTCGAAACATTTGTAGCCATAGCGTCACATACTAGATTATGAGTGTGTTGCTCACCACTGTAAGAGCTCACAATTAAATAATTTCATTCACATTGTACTGAGCCCACGGGAAGAGGTCCCGTGGATGGTGGGGAGGCTTCCCCTACTATGCTGCTGTATTCTCCTTCAACTCAAACCACGTGTTTCAATTAAATTTATCAATAACGTGAACTCCAGCAGGAAAGGGTATCAAGCCAAACATCTGCCCAACCCACCCCCTGCATTTTTTGAACTCAAAATGCTAAGAAAAGGAAGCAAGTCAAATATAAGTACAAAAGTATCTTGAACACAGTTTGTGGCGTCTGCTTCGGCACAGAGACCCACAGATTTGAGACGATGAAAGAGATATTCTTAAACCACTTTAATGCAAGTTTGCAAGAAAAACTGTTCGGCCCTCCGAAGAAATCCCGGTGGTACTCATGGCTACAGCCAGTGAATCAGTGAACAGAATATATATGTGACTGAAGAAGAACACAGGAAGTACGCTGGAAGGAGATGTGGAAGTTTATTTTTGGGGCATGTTTTCATGTCAGTGTAACGAATGCTGCGGATTACATACAGGCACAAACAAAAGGAAACTTCGTGGCTTGAGTCCGTAAGCTAACTATACCGACCGGGCGACTGCCGCCTGTCGGCGAAGTTAGTGCCAACTTTAGCGGATAGAGTGTGTTGCGTGATCAGCGCAACGAATCCCCACGGCCGTTAATTTCGGTTTTCTCGACATACAGGCACATAAAATTAAATTTTAATTTCTCACCTTGGTTAGGATATTTCTCTCCGATGTTGTTTCAAGTGGCACCAATATAATTGGCTGTATGTCTCCATCGGTCGTGTCAGTAGAGTTGAATACAATAAATGCAGCTTCTGGGTCCACAAAAAAGTTGAATTCTATTCCCGACCTAATATTACCAACACCTGTAAAAATCACACCAACATATACATATAACGCGTTAGTAAACCAGTAAAGAACAAGTTCAAAGGTGTGCAGTGAAACTGCATCTAGAGCATTTGTATGGTGCGTTATCATGAGATAGTGACATGTATCCTGTTAACATTATTACAAATTTGCTAGAGTCTATTTTCAACATACTGGAATCTTTTTGGGCAGTTGTTTTGGTTGTGATCTTGAATCCAGTTTGGTTTCGTTCACTACGACCTCAGTGAACACCACTGCAACATCTTGCATTCATCTTGTAGCTGCAAACTCGGGACTAATTACATGCTTCGCGTTGCTATCTGCTTCGCAATACGCTTCTAAGCGCAGACTGACACTCTTCAGGCTGCCGGTCACTGTTTTATGTACGTATCCTTTTTAGAATGGTTCATCTCATTCACGAGTAGACTAGGCATTCACTGTTTCTGTGCAATGAGGTAACTTCTCTTTTTAACCTCTTGGTCGTTTGTAAAAAGGTAAAGATATCCCTGTAGCATGCCGTGGAGGCGCATGGGGTTGTGACACGTCGAGGCTCCCACATTTTCTCTAGATGATCGGCTCACAGATGGCGGTGAGGTTGTCAACCTTACGCGCCGGCATCTCTTTAACCCTGGTACTCATTTCTGTTAGAGGTTGAGTCAACCCCAGGGCCATAGTGTGGCTGGAATGTTTAGGTACGTTAAAGGTAAAGATAAAGTTGTCCCTGTGCTTAACTAATTAATCACTACGCCACGAAGGCGTATGGGGAGTGGGTGTATGGATCCACATTTTCTTGACCTCGGTACTAGTTCGAGGTGAGTGGTCAGCTTCACGCCCCAGCCGCTTTACCCCTAGGAAAGCCTCACCCATTGTATAGGAGGTTGGATGGACCCCAGAGCCAGTCTGGACGACATGGAGAAGTAAAAATTCCTGCCCCACCGGGACTCGAACTCCGACTCATCCGTCCTCCAGCACGTAGCCAGTCGCTATACCGATCGAAAATTGAAAATTTCATCGGGAATCGAACCCGCGGTCTTCCGGCTTGTAACATAGTGTCTCAACCAACAACGCTACCGCGTGCCCCCTCAGTCGTTTGTGTAACGTGGAACCGAACAAAGGTGCGGTATTTTTATTTAACACGAGAAAGTATTGTGAGCATGATAATATTCTGTCTTGATACTTCGATGGATTTGTAGGTTTTCAGCCGCCTCCCCCCGAATACGAGAGTTATTTTTTCGTATGCCGTCTGTATGTATGTACGTATGTGAGTCTTGCAGGCGCGTGAACGGTTGGAAGATTTCATTCTTATTATTTATGAGTTTATCCGATGAATATGAACATTGTAGGTCAAAAAATACAGGCCTTACAGGCGGGCCTCCGAAACACAATGGTGATTTTCTTGAAAACGGCTCAAACAGTTTCGATTAAATTCGAGGACATTTCGAGATCATCTCCCTAAATAACACTGAACTTGCGGTATCTTAAAGAAAATAAATATAATTGCCTCTCGTGTGTGAAAAACTGATATCAGTATTCTTAAAGTCAGATATACCGGCCTGAATTTGGCTAATTTAAGGTACTGATGTGAATAAAACATTTTGAATACGCATTGCAGGATAGCTGAAGGCTGCGATGCGCGACCTCCGCGCAGGTGCACTTACCTTCAACGCTGCCTCCCATAACCACTAGCTGCTTTAGTTTAGTTAGAAATGACGGGTCCAGTCTAATTGCCAGGGCCAAGTTAGTCAGAGGCCCTAAACACAGCAAGGTCACTTCTCCTGGAATGTAAATCATGGCGAATATCAATTGTTGTGCTTCGGAAGGTGTACCTGCTTCAGCTGTTAAAGCCGAGTCAGGATAGTTCTGGCTCTGACACTATAATCAAGGCTCTTTGAACGAACCTAACGTGATCTGGAAACGCAGAGAAAATTAAGTACATGTTGCTATCTTGTCACCAGAATGCAAGGCAAAGTCATAACATAAAAATTTCTAACAGATATTTTAAAAATGTGGCACAGTTCAGATATTTGGTATTGACAGTAACAGGTCAAAGTTTGAGTCAGGATGAAATTAAGAGAAGACTGAATACGGGTAATGCTTGCTACCATTCAGTCCAGAACCTTTTGTCTTCTCCTCTGCTGTCTAAAAACATAGAAATTAGAATATACAAAACTATAATTTTACCTGTGGTTCTGTATGGGTGTGAAACTTGTTCTCTGACATTAAGGGAGGAACATAGGATGAAGGTGTTTGAGAACAGGGTGTTGAGGAGAATATTTGGACCGAAGAGAGATGAAGTGACAGGAGGTTGGAAAAAAACTGCGTAATGAGCTTCATAACTTATAATCTTCGCCAAGTATACGAGTAATTAGAATGATCAAGTTAAGGAGGATGAGATGCGCAGGGCATGTAGCACGAATGGGGGAGAAGAGGCATGCATGTAGGATATTAGTGAGAAAGCCAGGGGAAAGAGACCACTAGAAAGACTAAGACGTAGATGGGTGTACAATATTAAAATGGATCTTAGAGAGATAGGATGGGATGGTATTGACTAGATTGATCTGGCTCAGGATAGGGACCAGTGGAGGGCTTTTACGAATACGGTAGTGAACCTTCTGGTTCCATAAAATGCTGGGAAGGTCTTGAGGAGCTGCACAGTTGGCGGCTTCTCAAGAAGGACACAAATGAGTGAGTGAGTGAGTGAACATAATCTGGAGACGCATAGTGCATCCAGCGATCTGAATTCTTGGCGTAAATTAAATAATTACCCCTCCCCATAAATAACTCCTCCGTGCTCCAAATATTAACTTTTTCATGCCGATGAGATTAGCCTAGTCATATTGCTCTAGACTTTTATTCGGTAGGCAGTCATTTCGAATCTCGGCAGGGACGCCAATTATCCTGATGGTTTTCGTGGTTTTCCACATTCTCTTCAGGGAAGTGGCGAGATAAAATGTCGGTTAAGCCACGACGGCTTCTTTCCAAGTCCTTTCAAATTATTCATTAGTCTACTATCCCATAATTCGACGTTGTATAATCTTGCTATTTATAGGCAGAACGACAACAGGAAGACGGGGCACTCCCATATTGGATAGAATATAAAGCACTAAATAGTTCCACCACAGTCGCTAAAACTATTACGAAGTAATATCAGAATATATCATCATATAGCAGATCATAACATAATATTGTAGATACATAAAAATCAACGCCGACTCCCAAGGAAGGCCCATACTATACGACACACACCATTGCGCCAGAAAAATAATTGGAAGAATTATAAATTTTATGTTTTATGTTAATTGGAATTTTATTTTTAAACGAAATTTACATTTTTAATATGAATTTAACAATTAAAATTATAACGAAAACCGAACGGAAAATAGTTATAGATCACTGACTTGCATCCAAACAATCCAGTAACAAGTGACATATTGATCTAATGATTGTCCCATGATGACCCGACAGAGTCGAAACATCTAGCAACACTTCCACACAATAAACGAATGCTTAAACAGTAGTACTGATTTGTTTGTTATAGAATTGTTTCGTTAATACCATACACGAGTATAACTACATAAAGCTTTGGTCAGTACCCACCCGAAGAGACAGACTGATCTAGCGGCCTGTTAGCCTGGCATATCCCTCTGCAATATTGCACATACGAATGCCGGATACCTGAAAACTGCATTAACATTCCTCGTCTGGCTATAGAGAAAAGCTCACATTGACGGACCGAAACGAGTAGGAGCCTTTCCCACCTGACGACGGAAGCAGATTCACGCCTCATGCGATTTATATATGCCTAAGACGACGGACTATGTCCAACATAATGATTTTATAATGAAAGTTTTACGTACCTGGATATCGAGTTGCGGTTTCTATGAGGGCAATGGCAGCGTGTTGTTCCTGTAAAAGCTCCTCAGGGTCTGGCGGATCTGGGAACTCAAAGTCCCCAAATCCATCTTCACCGAAATAATAGTCTTGTGGAGGAGTCAATATGAGGGATTTCGAGGCCCCACGGTACACTGGAATCTGGTAATACAATTCTGAGAATTATTACATAAATACATTCTTGTGCGTGTACGAAATATCTTCTAATTTGTTCATAAACTTTATAGTCAGTTTAATAATGAAGGTTCAGTGTTGGAGAGGAAACGTCGGCAGCCTTCATCTGTGCGTTCTACTGGTTTCGGTCTGTAAACAGGTTTAGTAACTTTCTAGCAGCATTAAAATATACAGTGTAAACATGCCCCCATTTCTTCACATGCCTTATTTCCTGGCATGAAATCTAAATTCGCCATTCGTTGTGTGCCCCATACTTAGTTCTGAGAGTTCTCCAGAGATAAACGTAGCAAGTTAGAACTCACAGAAGAGACGACCCAACTGCAGGGAGTGCGAACTCCAGATGACATTTGGCCGTTGGGTAACACCTGGTAAGGGCCCCTTCCCAGGGTTATTTAGCGGGTAGACAGGACTTGTTAGTCACGGTAGGCAACCTGTCTAAGAGAGGGAAATTCTGAATAAAAACTCTGATTCTCCAAAAGGGGGTTTTGCAACAGGCTGGTAACTTGTTCAAGTAAAAATAGAGTTACTCCTCAAGGATGATTCATGTTTGAGGACGGAACGGGCTAACAAGTATGGGCACGCGGGCGCGTAGTTGGTTGAGGCACTATTCTACAAGCCGGAAGGTTGCGGGTTCGATTCCCGATGAGGTCATTGGATTATTTTTCCAGCCAAATTATGGCCGTGGGGTCGAATCAGCCTCAACAGAACTGAGTACTAGGAATCTGAGAACCTCACTGCCATCTGTGAGCCGATTGTATGGAAAATGTGGGAACCTCGACGTCTCACAGACCTATTGGTCTCCACGGTCTATTACAGGGACAGCTTTACTTTACCTTACCTTACGGGCTAAAAAACTCAACCCCTGCGTACGATGATGATGAATTCTATATAGATGGTTACAAAATGGAACAAAGCATTTAGCGTGAAACAATTGAACACATATCTAATTTTATGGCGAACTTGGAGTGTCCTGAAACGAAATAACGTATGTCAAGTAATTGTGCATGAGTCTGCATGCATTGCATATATAACACTTTAATGGAAGCAGGAATTGCTTGCAATTATTAAGCTGCTCAAGTGTAACCTCATTCAGTGGCCTTGATAACCATCAGTGTGAGCGGCATTCAAGTACAGGCATACCTTACATTAACCTTTACTGGCTGTGCGTCGCTTTATTGCGACGGCGAATGTGCGCCGCCCATCCTAGCTTCGCTTTTCTTTCAGTTCTAATACTACTACGTGCGCGTAGCCAGAAATATAGGCTTACAATCTTACGATTAAGTCATTTAAGACTAATTTTACTGGCCGTCATAGAGTATTCAGGATAGAATATTATTTAATTTGTATTATCATTATTTCAAATATTTCCCTCTTGCGTTCAATTTTTATGTTGTAAGATTTGAGGCNTTCCTCCGAAACGTCGGTTAACACCACATATACACGGTGCCAAATCCCAGAAGACTGCTTTCTTAAATTTTTATGTTATCAAAAATTTCAGGAGAGCAGATACTGTCCCCTCCCGCTTCGGCGTCCAAATAGTTTCACCCATGAAAAGAGAACTGGACATTAATAAAAATGTATCTGTAACTTACGTCAAGACGGTTCGCAGTTTTGAGAGTCTTTAAGACGTTGACCACCACGTTGTCGACAATAGTGTTACCGTTGACACAGGTAATTGCTATGACCTTGAGCTCCGAGTTGTATATCTGCCCATTCAGAGCCATGAAGATGGCAGCAGCATCATCAGGGCCGGCGTCGGTGTCAATAATAACCTTACCTACATCTAGTCGCACTGACTCCCTGTAGGGAACATTGTAAACCATTTTAATTAGACTGAGAATTCTCCTTTTTCATATTTGAAAGGAGTTCCGAAATTAACTCACCTGCTTATTACAAATATTTTTAGTCTTACAGATCCGGTATTGAATAGTTCTATGTTATGGGATATAACGCTATGTAATCGGTTCAAAATTAAACGACGTTTCGAAGGGACATTTTACCTTTATCTTCAGGGTTGGAATAAGCCAAACAAGAAACCAGCGTGAAGCCGTTACCAAGAAGGTCCTTCCTGCTGCCTGCTTCACGCTGGTAACTGTGTAATAATTACGTAACGAAATGCGTCACGATCCCATGATTACATAACCTAAATTCATCTTTTAATCGCTGCTTTGAATGATTATTATTAATTTTTTATTGTAATTTGTTATTTTCTTGTATGTAGTATCTGCACGGTAACAGCTGTGTAGATTTAATTGTGAGAGTGAAAAAATGGATACGGATTGTAATGTAGTAATTAATGGCGTTAAACTACACTGAATCCTAAGTACTTAAGTCAGTCAGACTCATAATTCCTTGCATTAAGGTAATGAGAGTGCAACGTCCAACTCCAATGCCGAGGCAAGCTTAGGCCGGCGAGCTTCAGGAAAAGGAATGCAACATGTGTAAATTCTGCCAACGTGAAATCTGTCGGATATAACCTCAAATTTCCACAGTGTCTCCATCTTTGTAATTGTTGACTTAAACCAGAATTTCACACATAATATATACTCGTAGATATGGGTACCAAATTTCACATGCCTAACTACAGAGAGTACTATTTGGAGCCATTCTGTCTAAGAATACTGGAATATAAACATATTCATTTTAGCTACTTTTGACAAAAATTATATTTTAAACTTCCGTATTCCTGTCCAGGTTTCTTAATGCATAGCATCTAAAGTTCTTTCTTTTTAAGCATTTCTAGCTGTACTTTACAGAGCCAGTCGTCTAGCCTGGAGCTTAGTCGATGTACTAAGTGAACTATCCTGAATCCTTACATCGATTCCCAAACTTATATCATCTTGTTTCCAGGATTTAACTGGCACATTCTAGTCGAAATATTTACTCATCGCAAGGTGTCATGCTCAAACAAAATTACATGATGTGTTTAAAATATATCTGAGGATATGTTATCGTGAGATAGTGACGTAGAATGTTACATCGCGATTAGAAAGCTACTAGGTTGCATAATATTATATTTCAGCATCCTTGCATTGAATACCAAAATTGAGAATAATGACTTACATCGAGTACTATTGACATAAGCGGGCACAGTGCAATTGGTTCCATCAAAATGTATTGCCTGAAGATGGCTCTGTGTAGCCGAAACATGTAGCCAAGCATAGAATATACTTTAATGACATTTTAAGAACATTTTAACGGAAATTTAGTAAGTTGAATGTGAGTTTGGTGTCATCTGAAAGAAAGAGGTGCGTTGCATTATGGGTGGAAGAGAAAACACAAGCGGTGTGATGAGAGCCGAAATCGCCATACTGGAGATGTGGGACTTTACTTCCGTAATGTTGTGTGCTGAAGAAAAAGCGTACTCTCAAAGATGTTTCAGTCACAGAGTAGAGTTTACTTACTTTTCGCAACGTTTTTCAGGTTTCAGGCATCTTGCACGGGGATAGTTGTGACATCTGTAAGAACAATAGTTGTACGAGTACTACTCTTCTAGGTTGTAACATCGAGTGTTTATATTAGTATTATTAACGGTTTATTTAATGACCCTGTCAGTAGCTCAGACTATGCAACGGCAAATGGTAAGATGGTTCATGAAGAATGAATTAATGTGTAAGGAAGTGGTCGTAGCCTATTTCAAATATACCGGAATTTGGCTGGACAGACTGAGGGAAACCAGAAAGTTCTGAGAATAATCGGTGTCCCGCATAATATTCGAAATGAGAACCTCCCGAATGCAGCCCAGGAAAAGTTACCACCTCAGCCAACTTGATCGGTGATGCCGTGTAGTCTGGTATAAAGGGACCAACATTTCGGAAGCATATGCTTGTATCGTCGTCATAGTCTATTCTATCCTGAAAATTAGAACAGCAAGTTCCTGTGAAACACTGATAATATTTTCCAACTACGCGGCAAACATCCGAGAAGACAATTAGCTGGGTTATGGCGGGGACTTGAAGTAGCCAACAGAACAGGCGTAGTGTAGGCTGTAACACATACAATGTCACATTAGCATAACGCTCGTTATAGTAATTGTGGATAACATCAGTGTTAAACTTGAATTAAAAAATATGTTAGGAAAAAATTATGTGCAAGTAAAACACGTTTGCGTATAAAAACAAGCTTCGTCAAAATATCTAACCACAGGAAGGTGAAGACTCCTGGAAAACAACTACAGTTACACCAAGATACTAAACTTAATAGAATAACAATATTGTTACGTGTATGAGTGACTATAGACAGGGGTTGGATTGGTAATTGGATTTATTGACCACTTACAGATCGTAACCCTTACTGAAAGTAACTACAAGTAACTATAACGCTATCGCTAATTCACACATCTGCAGTTCACTGCATCACGCATTAAAACTTTTCAGTCTACTATGTCTTCACCAGTCGTTGTCTGGTAACAGCTCCCAACGACGGATATTCCCCTTACTCTGTGTTCCCGAACTATCCCCATGCCTCAACTACCAGCTTCTAACAGCAGCAGGTTACAAAGACTGAACTGAAACAGTCCTCTAACTCACTCACTAACCAACTAACTTCATTCAACTCAACTGAATTGCACTCACTTATTGCCCGGCTTATAACATCTATGCAGGGACCGAACAGAAAACATCGCTCCTCTGTTATATCCATTGTTATGTGCGTATCCGTCTGAGTGGACCTAGCAGAAAACGCCGCTTTCCAGCCAGCCCATTGGCACGTGTTAGGAATCTGTTGCCCAGCAACGGGTGAGTCATCACTTAGCAACGGGTCTGCATGCTACAATATGCAATGAGCAGTGCTGCTGCCTAGAGGTACTCTACGAAATTCTTTGAGCAGAAATGCACAAGATAATACCGGACACTGATTCGTGATATTGCAACGGTTACCTTCATCTGCCGTATATCGCTGCCAACCGCGCCTGTTTGTGCACCTGCCCGCTCTGAAGTCTAACGTATAAGAACGTATATGAGCGTTAACTTTGCACATACATCCAATGTTTAGCCCTTGTATCCTTGATAGAAGAGAATGAAATGTGCCAGAGTTCAGTTCTATCTTACTGACTCGAGACACCAGGAGTTTCTCAACATTTTAGTGAACCCGAGGGTTCAACACCGTGTTTATGAAAGTCGTTGGCCCATATCCCGAGCCCGATGAATCCAATCCATACCATTCAATCCTGCTTCTTTAAGATTCCTTCTAGAATTAGCCTCTTCCATCAGCCCGCGAGTATTCCTAATGAAGTCTGTCTTTCAGGGTTTCCTAACTGAACTTCATATGCAATTATCTCGCATGCATGCTACATTCCCCCTATCGTATCCTCTTGAGTTGATCAGTTTAGTAATATTTGGCGATGAATATTAATACTGAAATTTCAATTTGTGAAAATTTCTCATCTCCCTCTTATTTCATCCCTCTCACTTCTGTTGTCAAACACCCTGTGTCCATCCCGTTGTCTGATATGGGTGTGAAACTTGGTCTCCCTCTACCAGTGGGATGATCATACTTTTAGGGTGCTCGAATACCGAGGGTATTATTGTTTTATAAACAGAACAGGAATTAATATCCATTACACTTACCCCATTGTCGGGCGTGTGGAAAAGCAAAGCACAGTACTGACCAAAAACAAGTATAAAATTTTGCTCATGGCTGCTGGAGGCGTTTAGCTGCTTATTCGCAAAACTTGTCTGCACTATCTGGATGATACACGTTGCAAGTTCTCGAGTTTATACAGGAGTCCATCGGTTGTTGCTGTATCTCACAGTACCAGATAAAATAATGATATGAAGTGGTCTGATAGGCCACCATAAATTTATTAAATCATAAACGTAAAGCTATATGTAAATTTCACGTGACGGCTACGTTGTTTCTTGTATTGAATGAAAAAGTCCGCGTAAAGATATTGTACGTATTTTCTCATATAAAACTGTCTCATCACAGCCGTCCTAAAATGAATATTTCAGAAAAAAAAATATTTTAAATACAACCAATTTCTTAGTCCATAATATCGGTCCCTAGAACCCCTAAAGGGCAGTTTCTTATCTTTTGGAAAAATATTTGTGTATTACTACAAATCGTTAAAATGTATTCAAAAGAGTTTTACAGAATAATATTGCATCGTGTTGATCCGTTATTGGGTAACGACCGCGAAATGAACAACGAAGGAACGTTCGCTGCTAGGCAACAGATTCTTAATAAGCAAGTATACGCAGCCGTTACTGGGTATCGCCCTCACAAACAAACACGTTCCCATGAAATCAATCGGAGTACAACAATGAACGGTGTTTTCTATGCAGCCCAAGCTGAGATATTATAACCGAGACAAGTTTAGAGGTTAAGGGAGTCTGTGGAGAGAAGACTTGGTCGGTGCTGTTGAAGAATTCCCACTCTTAGAAGCCGTTACCAAGGAACGACTGGTGGAGTCAGAGCAGACTGAAAAGACTTAGCGTATACTGTAGTGATTTGTAAAATGTGGAAATTAGCGATGACGCTATAATTAAATGTAGTCACGAGTCATGTGCTAAATCCAATCTCCAATCCCTTTCGGAACCCATTTAAAATATTCGAATTAGGGGAATGGGCGGTAGTAAACGAAATTAAGATAAATCCAGATAAGAATAAAGCGGTAAGTTTCACGAGAGCTAGGGTGAAGGAGCGTCTGACGTATTATTTTGGGGACCAACTAATTCCTGAAGTAAGTATCTTTAAGTACCTAGGAATAATCACACGGAGCGATCTAAGATGGGCAGATCATGTAAACTCTACAGCACCAAAAACATGGAAGACCCTTCATTTGATAATGCGTATACTGAAACAGGGCAATAATAACACGAAACTTCTAGCCTATACGTCACCAGTGAGACCGATACTTGAATATGGTTCGGTATGTTGGGACCCATGCAGAGAATGGCAGGTTAGCGCTTTAAATCGGTACAAAGAAGAGCAGCTAAATTTGCCAATCCTACAGATGAATCTGGCTGGAAACTCTGGCACAGCGTAGACTGATAGCCCGTCTGTGCGCCCTCTAATAAGCATACACCAGGAGACCAGCTTGGAGAGGGATAGGGGATAGCCTGCTTAAACCATGCTACCTGAATAGGGACGATCATAGTTGGAAAGTTAGAAGCAGGAAACAAAGGACTGATGTTGGCAAATATTTCTTTGTAAATAGGACCATAAAGGATTGGAACAGTTTACCTGCAGGCATACTAAATTCTTTCCCCTGTAAACTAAACACTTCTAGAAAGAGGGTTAGGAAAGCTGTTGCAAGTACAGAGGCCTTAGGCGGAGTTGAATGAAGCAAGTGAAGTAATGTGAAGTGTCCTTGTTCGAGTGCAATGTTTGGATTTGCACTGTGTGTACCTTGTTTTCTGTATTGTATTTGTTTTGTTTTGTTCCCTTATGTTATAGACTCTAGTTGTCTGTATCAGTGTAAGTTCTACTGCCACCGGGTGAACACCCAATTGCAGTACAATAATAATAATAATAATAATAATAATAATAATTAAAATGCCGTAAAACTGTTGAAGACCTAGCGAATCGCTCGTAGATCTCTATACCGAACAGTAGTAGGCACTGCAACAAAAACATTTTCTCATCAAGAGGGAGGGCTGGAATCTCAAGGTTGAACTTTTATTGTCTGGGTTCCCGTGTCCTCTAAACAGAAACCCCGACAATAATTTAGAAACATCCTGTACTTCTTACTACTACCTGTATTGGAAAGTGAAGAAGATACAAAATTTTAGTATCTTACCTCTAGTGGCGCTAGTTTCATTTCCACCTCTCTTTTTTCTATTTCTTCTTCTGTTCTTTCAAGATTTAGGCCACTAGAACCTGTTCCGAAACCAACCCCTGCCCCTACGAAAATTCATTTCCCACCTACCAGACCACACGGAGTCATAACTTTAAAAAACAGACAGTACGTTTCTACGAAAATGTATTACCAAACTACGAGGGCACAAGAAGTCATAACTTGAAGATAAAATTAGTACATACCTCTAGATCAGTACCCACCTATCAGGCTAGGCTGTGTCATCGCTTAGGCTATGGAGGAGGCCTATTTTCCTTTCAACAGTTGGTAGCCACCGACGAGAGTACACGGTGCCGTAGACGCCGTTGGTTCCAACCTACGAGGCCTACTGCAGCCAGAGAGTACGTTTCCTTTTCTGGATGTTGCTATCACCAGAAAAGAGCTGACACCTGCCACTAATATTTGCAGGAAACCTACTCCTATTCGCTGCTGCCGTAACTTCGAACCAAATCATCCATCGCATAGTAAAAGGCAAAGCTATTCCTGTAACAGGCGGTGGAGGCCCATAGGGTTGTGAGACGTCGAGGCTCCCACATTTTCTAGAAAATCGGCCTTAGGTGCCGGCAGCCCTTTCCCCAGAGGAAGATCCCTTGTACTCATTTCTATCAGAGGTTAAGTCGACCCCATGGCCATAGTGTGGCTGAGAGGATTAGGTTAATTAAAAAATCCAATGACCTCATCGGGATTCGAACCTGCGACCTTCCGGTTTGTTGCACAGTGCTTCAACCAACTGCGCTACAGCATGGTGAACGAGGAATGTTTCAGAGACTAAGCAGTAGAACTTGTGTGACGCGTTAGGTACGTCAAGATCTGCTGAACCAAACTGACAACCCGAGACGTAATCTTCAGTTCCGTGGTTCCCAACGGTTCATGCGTCATCCGAAAGAAAGAGAGGACGCCTTTGGGTCTGTGTTTATCCCAAAGTGAAGGTCACTTCTGGAAAGTTCAGATGGATACAGCATTAGGACCATCTTCGAAATTAAACATTCTTACGACTTCAGTCACGAGAACGAGACCAGAAAGAGATCCGCAACAGACGGCATGTTGCGTCTATAGCATTCCCTGTGAATGTGGCAGAAGTTGCATTGGTGAAACAGGGTGACCGCCAGCCGTGCGGCCCGCGAACATATGCACAGTCTCAAAGTCAGTCTTAACCCAACATGCCTATGAAGAAGGTCACAGGGCAGGCTAGGATGAAGCTAGGACTTTGGAATTTGAAAGTAGGAAATATAGTGAATCGGCCCATATGGCATGCATAACCAAACTGATGGGCCAACCCAGTTTGGGCATTTCTCCCATCTGGATCCTCCTCATCAGAAATTAGACTCACAGGGAGGGTCAGTGTGATGTGAGAGATTGGATATCCATATGGTTTTTAGTTCCGGGGTTCAGTTCTTGTTACATAAATTGCGCTAGCAATAGGCGGATGTTATATAGGATGGAAATTTCAATTTTCTCTGTGTTGGTGGGTCTAGATTTGGTTGTTGGTTTGATTTGATGCATTTATTTCCCACTTCCTTGTCAGTCTTGATTTCGGTCTTCATGTGCACTTCAGCAATTTTCATTATATTGTCGCATGTAGACCTGCTGCTAAGTAATGACTCCGTATACAACTGCCGTTGCTAGGTAATGACCATAAACAGTCGCATAGAAATGATATTATGATGGACACGTGATGCAACAGCAGAAGAACTGTTGGCAGAGGTGTTCTCTATGTGGTCCGTGCCGAAGCTAACGAAGATTAGCTGCGATTAAGATTAGGCATGTACGTAAAACATTGCCCGGCAATAAATGATTACTGTGAATGTTGCAACCGTATATTATTGCGTTCCAATATCAATGTAAATTTTGCTTTTCGTCACTGCAAGATGTTATTTAATCCTGTAACAGTTACTTGATGCCACTGAAATACCAGCAGTTTGAATTGCAGGTTACTTTAACTATCACACTATTGCTACTAGAATTTCGTGATTGCGGTTTTTGACAGAACTTCATGCATTATTCATCAGTGACTGACTTTTCAGCATGTCAGCTGTCTTTCCTTCTTCAGGCTCAGTAATGATAGGCAACCGTCCAAGGACTTTAGCCGGAAACGCATGTTTCTAGGAAGCCAAATGAACAATTGAACGAAGAGAAAGCAAGAAGAAGGTTGCACAGCGCTTACGGACGCTTGGTTTAACGCTTTGTTTGGAAGTGCGAACAGGTTATTTAGCCATTTCTTTAGGTCGGTCTAGACTGATATTGTCACGTGACAGAGTGACGCTATACGGTGTTTGGCTTGGTAATTGAATTTATTGAAATCTTACAGAACGTAACTACAAGTAACTATAGCGCTATCGCCAATTCACACTCTCTACAATTCACCACAACACGCACTAAGCCTTCTCAGTCTGCTTTGTCTTCACCAGTCGTTGTCTGGTAACGGTTTCCACTGTGGACGTTCCCCTTACTCTGGGTTCCCGAACGATCCCCGCGCCTCAGTTATCAGCTTCTAACAGCAACAGCTCACAATGACTGAACTGCAGGACTTCTTTTGACTGCTCACCAACCAACTCACTTCACTTCCTTGTACTTAACTGCACTGCACTCACAAACTGAACTGAATTCAGTCGGTCGAGTCATATAGTTTCGGAGCGGAACCACAAAGAAAACACCGCTTCCAGCGCCAATTTGTTCACCACAAATCCCACATGACCAGACCTGGACTCGACCCCGGGCCGCCGCAGTGGGAATCCGGAGACTAACGGCTTGAGCTGTGTCACAGCCTCTGAGTTACACTTTGTCTGTTAATAGACGATAGTCATACTTGACGTATTTATCCCCTGCTGTTGATTTCTACGGGAAATATCATATTCAGACACTCCCCCTTCAGCCTCACAGAAGTCGCAGGACTAAGCCCCG